AGGATATTATTATTGTTGTAGTCTTAATAATAAGCAATTATACGTTCAAAGTGCTTTACAATCACTTAGCTATTCCTCACAACAGCCCTGTGAGGTAGGTCGACATTGTTATCCCCATTTTACAGATGGGGAAACTGAGGCACAGAGAGGTTAAGTGTCTTGCCCAAGGTCACGCAGCAACCGAATGCTGGAGCTGGGACTAGAGCCCAGGTTCCCTGACTCCCAGTGTCCTCGAAACTAGACCGCACCGCTTCCAAAGAGGCAGCCCCGGACTGGCTTTGAGCACGGACTACAGACGGACAATGTCGGATGAGGTTGGGGTGTGGTGGTGCTTCCCGTGGACACGTTAAGATGGAACCTGAGGTGCTGCCTGGGTTGGTCTGGGCATGCGGGTGTATGTGTTAGTTTAAATGGGTGTGTCTGAGCTTCCTGTCCTGCCCGGGTCACTGCAGAGAGTGCGGCCGACGGTCAGGTCAGGCCTGACTGCCATACAAAAGGAACTCTGCCAGCTCAGCGCCCAGGGGCCTGCCAGTCTTTGGGAGTCCGGGCAAACTAGGGATGCAGGACTTTGGAACGGAGTCAGCTGCCCACCTTAGGCAGGTCTGCTTAATCTTTTTATTATTTGAAAAAATTTTTTTTTTTACTGGCCAGCATCAGGAAGTTGTGTTCATTTCATTTCTCTGTGGGGCGGCTGACCCCTCTTTTGCTCTCTCCCTCGTTCCCTTTCTCTGAGTCTCTGTTTGGAAGGGAAACCGGTTAAGCCTCGCATGTTCCCTTCCACGAAAAAGAGCCACCGTGAGCAGCGTCCGCGACAGGAGGCCATGGCTCCGCAGATGGCCGCGGCCCTGCTTCCGCCTTCTGCAGGACTGCTTTGCTTGGAAGGGGTCTCCCTGGGGCCTTGGGTTTGCTTTTTCCTGCATTTCTCCCGAAATGCGGTTTCAGTAGAAATAAGCCCACTTGAGACTTTTCCCTTGCAAGGCCTCAGCCACCAACGCCTTCCGACTAACGAGCTTGGTGCTGTAGCTCAGGCAGAAAACTCTAAAGCATCCGTTCAAGCATCTGAAACAAATGAATCAGCCAGTGAAATCCCATCTGTTAGCACCTGCTCTCCTTGCAGATTAAAAAAGAAAGGAAAAGAAAAGCCTTACGGCTCTGGGTGGAATCATGCTTTTAAAAAAACAACAAAAAAGCTTGCTACTTCTTAGACGATGGTGACTTAGAAACAGGAGTCTGTACTCCACAGACGACACGTCTGCTGCACATCCCACTTTCCTCTGTGTGGATGCGCCGAGCCTCCCGCGGAAGCCGGATCAAGGCCCATCAGGGGAGAAGCGGCATTGCTTCTTTTGTACCCCCCACCTTTCCACGTCACCATCTGTTGGCTTGGGGTACAGACTCCAACATTCTAATACCTGACCACCGGACTGTTTACCAGCTGGAAATACTGGTCTCTTCCTCAAGCCCAACGGGTTAAAAACAAAGAAAAGACTATCCCCCTACAGTCCTCCTGTCATTACAATGAGCCAGGGACAGTCTCTCCTCAGACTGCACCAGAGCGTCTTTTGCATAAAGGAAATGCTTGAATGTTGAAAGAAAAGGAAATGAACAAAACTTTTCCCACTTTGGGGTCTTTTTTTCCCCTTTCCACAAGACACTGGACAAATATGTGTCAGGACCCTCGTCTGGAAGGTCTGATGGGGCGCTACTAGTTGCTGGGAGGGGGCACATTTTTTCACGGCCGCAGAGCTCTGTTCCTTTATTTACTTGCTCCTCGTGGAAACATGCAGGTCCCTCGGATGCGGCAACGATGGATGAAGAGCAAATGCTGAGTCAAACTAAAGTGAGCGTGGCATGGAGGGGATGAGTGAGAACGCAAAAGGCCTGAGGCGGCTTCTCTCCAGCTCCCTCTGGAGAGGTGCTGGAGAGAAGGCTGGCTTTCGTGATGATGATGATGGATGGACAGATGGAAACTGCACACTCATTCAGACCACAGAGGCCAGAGGACACCGGGGGCTGAGCTCCTGCCCACACGTGGACACAGGAGCTCCTCAAGCCATTCCTCTTCGTGAAGACGGGGACACTGCCGTTGGTCTGAACACGGGGAGCCCAGATGGAGCCCACAGGGCTGGAGACCATAGTGCCTCTGTGTGTCCTTGAAAACCGTCCCATGGGGGAGGGGCTCAGAACATGGACCAGTTCTGAGGCTCTTCAGACAGACGGCACTCGACGCAGCACAAGCACGCACATGCCTATGCCCACACTCCACTGCCACTAGCAATCGGTCAGCCGTGTGGCACCCTGGCACAGGGAGAGGCAAGCCACCCCACCTCTCAATATGCCATGCCCCCTGCCGATGCTTCCTGGAGGACCTGTGTGCTCGTCCTAGCGACACTGTTGGTGCGGTTCTCCCATCGCCACTGGACCGCGTTTCCCTAACTGCGACACCATCACCTACCCTTCGTCATGCCGGAAGGACGGGCCTCCTACGGCTGATTAAAAGTAGAGCGACAAATCACATCGAAAGCCATTTTTAGAGCAGAGGAAGCCAAAAATGTAATTAGGATTGTCCTCCAAGGAGACAAAATTTTTCCACTTTTGATGTTTGCTTCAGAACCAAATGCATTTTCAGAATTTATCTGTCGAGGTTATGAACACAACTTAATTTTCTAGGCTGTGCACTCAACATCAACTCCCACCGGAACCATGTAAAATGTGTTGATATTACCACTTAACTGGAAATATTTGCATTTCACCAAGGAAATGAAACTCTTTCCATACACAACAAAATGGTAAATGTTTAGGAGGGGGAAAAACACACCTCAGCATTACTGTAGTACAATGTAATAGAGTCTTTTAACCCATGATTTAAAAAGGCAGCTTTAACATCATTTGAACCTTCAACTTGAAGACTTTGTGGAGCCCATTCGTGAAATGTGAAAATTGTTTAGCTATGTGTTCTTTTCAGGTTTTAAAATATCAAAAGACTATATCCAGGCACCAGAGCAAGCCCTGAAGCCATCTAATTGGGAAGTTTTGGGGACTCAAAGGTATAATTCTGTATCAAGGTGGTCATCACCCATGCCTTCCACAGAAAATAAATAGAGGGGCCTCATAACACAGAGCTAACCTGATTAATGTAAATTACGACACAGCTATCCATGAAAGAGTACATTTCCCCCTTCAGAAAAGTCATTGAACTCCATCGACCCCACCAACTAGACCCTGAGCACACCAAGCAGGTCCCATGAGCAGAGGGCACCGGGGCACTCTGACACCGGGCTGGCCTCGCCCTCCAGGCCCAAGGCTCCTTTCAGGAAGAGCCATCAAAAACATGTTCGTCACCCCCTCTCTTTGCATCCAACTTGGCCACACTGCCCTCAAGAACGTGTGGGCCCAAGATAAGGTCAAAGGGACACTTTTCAGTTTGCTTTGTCTAAGGCTCCGTAGGAACTGTGATCAAAGGGCTGTCGCCTTTGCAAACTGGATCAGCCAGAGGTGAAAGCGCTTTGCTCACCAAGTCTACAACCCGACACAGCAATGAGCCACCTGCCTGAGCCTGTGGTCCACCGAGCTACCTTTAGGAGATGTGATCAGAGAAAGGAAGATCAGAAGCCTACAGTTGGATTCAGCTGATCCCCCCCTCCCTCCAACCCTGCAGCTGTCTGGGTAGAGCAGAGGTTTTTATCACGAATCAGCAGGTCACGGTCACATAAGGTCATCTACTAACCCAACACATGTATATGCACCCCTCATTCCTTCATTCACTCTTTCATCATCATTCATGTTCATATTCCCTTGCTCAGAGAGATCACACACAAGCCTTCGCTTCAGTACTGACCATCACTGTGAACACTGTCAATACTGGGCATTTTTCCCCAGGAAAAAAAAAAGTGCAGGATTATTTCACATTGATCCTTACCCATAACTGTTAGGCCCAATTTAAGACGTGGTGATAACAGGGACAGAAAAGTAATTTTAGAGTAAACTAAAAAGGGAAAAATCCTTTATCCTATTCGCGATGGACTCAAAGCACTGTGGGTAGCAGAGATGACAGGGCTTTCGATTAATTTAAACAGCTGTTTCTGATAACTCGCCAACCTCTCTAGTTCCCTTTTTCCAGTTCTTAGCATCTTTTTCTCTTCCCCTCTTCACCCTGCATCCTTCACCACCAGCACTCACGAAGTCCCCTTCCTGGCCGCTGTGTGCGGGTCTCCACTGGGACTCCCTTCGCCTGCACTCCTGCTTCCCATCCCAGAGCTCTGGGCTCACCTAGGATTCCGTATCCTCGCACCCTGGTTGGAACCAGAGGTTCCTGAAAGCCACCTCCACACTCTAGGAGCCCGGGGCGGGGCCATGGCTTAGGAGTAGGGACCAGAGGCTGGCCAGGTGGGAGAGAGCAGCATTTGCACAGCAAGCCTCACGGCCATCAAGAGACAACACAGAGAAACAGACACACCGCAGGCGTACACACACATGTACACACACGCACAAATGCATATGCAGACACACACACACACACACACACACACACACACACCAGGAGGTGATGGATGTTACTGAAATGGACCAAAAACCAACAAGCAGTGGGGTAAGAAACAAACAGAAACAAAACAAAGCACTTGCGTTCAGATGGAAAGCTGTTTCCTGGGCAGCCAGGGCTGGAGCCCAGGGCTTGGGGTGGGTGGGTGCCTGCTGGGAGGGCACTGCCTTGGGAGAAGCCTGGAGGAGAGAGGCACAAGGGTAGTGCTCGCTCCCCTCTCCCAGGGCTGTCCTGGGGTTCCTGTGCCACAGGCCACAGCCGTCGCCAGAGGAAGCAAGGAGAGGGAAGCACTTACCTGGTGGCCCAGAAATGGCTAGTCCACATTTTAGGGTGTGTGCAGTATCTCAGTTTAAACAAATCCTTGTGGTACTGCTCAACCATGAACTGTCAGCTCTCTAATATTTCAAATAAGCTCGTAAAGTGGTTAGTGAAAAGATAAGACAACAAAACAACAATTCACCTGTAGGGCAATTGTGGTGTTCTTCGCAGGGTATTTTCCCACCAGTCCTTGTTCTTTCCGTTTCTTGAATTTCCTAAAGTAGTCCTGTATCAGGAAAGTGGCATAGAACTTCCCCACGGTTACCTCATCATCTAAACGGAGAGACCAGACACAGCTCTCCCGAATCAGCACATTTGCACCAAGAGCCTACACACTGGCTTCTGGGTGGGGCGGGGGACAGCGCAGAGGCACTGAGCTCTCGGCTTATAACACAGGAGGGAGACTAGCTCTAGCAAAAAGCAGGGTTCGGCAAAGCAGTTAAGGCTCAAAGTTAGAGTCAGTTAGATAAACTGACACTCAAAATTGCAGAAAATAACATTGGTCATGAGTTTAATAGAGCAGCGTATTAGTAACATTATCAAGTGCTGTGTTGGTTATTTACTTAAAATAAAAATTACACAACAAAAAAGTCTTTCCTAGGTCATATTTTCACCCCTGTGCACAGGGATTTGCATGTGTAATTACCATGAACTCCAAGGGCAATTAACCATTCAAATCCCGATGCCTGGAGATAAAGACAGAGACCTCAGAAAGGGGACAGACAAGCTCAGAAGAAGAGGAAGGTTCATTAAAGTGACTGCAAACCCAGATTTTCATGTGCCCCTTGACTCTGCCAATAGCCTCCATATGCCATTTCTTGGTCTGTAATTCAGAACTAGTTGTGGTGTGTGTGTGCGTGGTTTTTTTGGGGGAGGGGTGTGGGAGGAGCTGTAAGTGACAGCGCCAACTAACCTCATGGTGGAGCTGACTTACTTCTGCTTTGTTCAGAAACAACTGGAACTCTGCTGAGCATTTTACAGGTGATGCATGAGGCAGAATAGAGGCTCTGGCTGTCTCGGGTAAACCACCTTGGCAGTGTGCGTGTGCCCCAGGATCTCCACAAGCCCTGCTCCCCCAGGTTGCGGTGTGCCCAGGGTTCCTGTGGGCACGGACCGCTGACCATGATTTGCAGAGGCTGGGGGTGGAATGGTTGCTAGCACTCAGGCTTTAGCACAGCTAAACCTTTGGCCAGGCTGCCCTTGTAAGAGTTTCATGTGATCTGGGGCAAGGAGCTCAACCTCTATGTATAAAAGGAGCTATGTCTCTTAGAGGATCTGTGAGGACCACAGGAGGAGAGGCATGTGAAGTACGCAGCCCCCTGCTTGGGTGGCCCTCATTCTGGGGGCTGGATGACTGAGCCACGAGAATCACTATCATCTTACACCCCCCAACAGTGAGATCCACTGCAACAGATTGTAGAGCACACAGGTTGGGGGACACTGAGGCCCACTGTGTTCCCTAACGCACCGTGGCTGGGGTTCGTTTAGCGCCCATGTGGGAGATGTCTCTGTCTGGACCAGGGATCCTCAAACTTTTTAAACAGGGGGCCAGTTCACTGTCCCTCAGACCGTTGGAGGGCTGGACTATAGTTTAAAAAAAAACTATGAACAAATTCCTATGCACACTGCACATATCTTATTTTGAAGTAAAAAAACAAAACGGGAACAAATACAATATTTGTATTTGCATGTGGCCTGCAGGCCGTAGTTTGAGGACTCCTGGTCTGGACACTGCTGGGCCATCCAGGGCTGCCTCTCCAAACTCCCTGGTCAAGAGCTACTCAGTGTTACTGTGAGAGAAGATACTTGGAGTGGTTGGACTTCGAGAACGTGTTGCATTCCTTCCAAACCCAAGCTGGGCAGGTCTGGAAGGGTGCAGGGGCCACCAACGTGAACCCAGGCTTGTGCAGCATGTGAAACCGTGGTCCCTCACCTGTCTCAGGCTGGTCTAGTGATGCCCTCGCGGGCAAGGAGGCGAGAGGTGAAGAGAGACCATGCGGGTCTTCACATTTCAACCTTTGCCCTTGAGCTGCTCTCTGTTTTGCCCGGGGCTGTTTGGACACCAGTTCCAGCCACCCCTCCTATTGGGCACCTACAGGTACCAAGCCCTGAGTCAGGGAGCTCCACTCGGGTTGCCCGGACTCTTCAACCACAACTCTGAGATGGTGGATCTGCTCACCCGCGCTGACAGCTGAGAAGGTTGAAGGACTTGCCCCAGGCCAGTCAGGTTGGGACATGAGTGCCAAGCCAGCTCTCCTCCTCCTCTGCACCACCTCCCTGAGCGATGGCCTACCTCCAGCCACACAGGCCACCTTCTTCTGTGGGGCGGCCTCTCCCAGAGTACAAATCTCTCTCGCTACGGGGCTGCAATCTGGAGGGGAACCGACTGCTGACTGCATAGAGATCCCTGGGGCCCCGGGGGATTCTCCGCCTGCTGCACCACAGCGGCCTCTCAGTCGACTCCCAAGCCTTCTCTGGGGGCTTGCAGAAAAATGCCTCTCTCTCCACAGAAGACCACCTCCTTCCACAGCGGGATGGCCCAGCACGCACAGGCCTACCCTCATCTCCCTTCAGCCTGGACTATGCGAGCCTGGAGGGGCCCAGGGGCTCCTGCAGGGGGGTCTGGGCTTCCCCTGGCCTGGAGCCAGGCCTCAGTGTCCTCAGGGGAAAAGCTGACGTGTTTCTCCCTGAGGGGCCACATGGAGCAGAGCACAGCCACCCAGGGCTCTGCAGGGCAGGGTGCAAGGGCCACGTGGTTTGCTCCACTGAGATGCTGAGCTAACTGAGACTGAGCCCAGGAAGAGCTCTTAAAAACAGGAGAGTGAAAGCCATAGCACAGGGTGGGGAACCTTTCTTCTGCTGAGGGCCATTTGGATATTTATAGCATCGTTCGCAGGCCATACGAATTATCAGCTTAAAAATTAGCCTGCCATATATGGTCAAACATTTAACTAACTCACCCTTAACGCAGGGCCAGAGCAACTGATTTCACGGGCCTTATATGGCCCGGGGCCAGACATTCCCCACCCCTGGCCATAGCAGGACAGGAAGGGAAGGAAGAGAAGGAAAGAATGCAGGAAGGGTGTCTGGGCTCAGGACTAGAGAGAAAGGGGTAGGGCCGGCTCTGAGTGCTCTTTAGGGAAAAGGGGCCAAAGAGCCAGGTCAAGGAGCGAAGGCCCAAAGCAAGGAGAGCCTCTTGGAAGGGAGGACCCAAGAAATGCGTGACAAGAGCGGAGGGGAGAACGTGAGCAAGGGTCAGTGATGGGCAATGAGACGTCAGGCTTATGATGGAGACAGCAGACAGGCTGCCTCCCCAGCCACAGCCTCCTGCACAGAAAAGTTCCCAGCTGGTATTCCAGGGCTCCGTCCTGAGTGGCCCCTTACTATCAAGCTCATGACAACCTGGGGCACCTCACATCACACTGTGCCAGCAACTCCTCCTGAGACGGGCACCTGCTGCCACCAGGTCTGTAAGGGCCTCTCTGACCACCCCACATCGGCCAGTCCCGGCGCAGGGACAGCTGGCCTGGCTCAGTCTGCTGCTCTCTGCGAGGTTACAGCAGGGGGGACACCGAGCCCCTCAGCCGTGGGAGCTACCCACTTGCTGGCCTGGAGGGCTGAATGAATATTCTCGCTTTCTAAGTGTGCCATGGCGAGGGAAAGGCGGGAACCACTGACCGACTAGCATGGGAAAGACTCAAAAACAAAGAGACAGAATTAGAATGCTGCCCAGCACCTCACTCAGCGTCTGCTCACCGCAGCCAGAAACCCAGGCCTTTCCATCTTCTGCAGTGGCAGCAGCGCTTATCTGAGACTCAGCCCGACAACATGATCCCAGCACATACACAAGCCATGACACGGGACTTCTGGAGGACCCAGTTCCTCCTGAAGCCCTCCTTTCTACTTTCCGGTTTCACAGTGCCACCTAATGCCATTTTGAAATAGATTAACACCCACTCCATTTAAAGAGATACAGAGAAAAAGCCAAGGCCCGACATTGGGCCAAGAATGCGGGAGAATATGTAGCTTTTAGTAGACGTCTAGTAGAACTAAAAGCTGGTCAGTTTTTTCAAAGGAAGGGAGCCGAGATCCTGAGCCAAATTCTGGACTTTTTTCCAGTCACATGAAAAGAAACGAAGTTTCACGGGCTGCTGTCCGAGGGGGTCTAGCCAGGATGGGCCCTGACGTGTGCGTGAGACTAGTTTGTAATGAAGGTGGTGTTTCAGGGGAAGGTTTACTCAGCCAGCCCAGACCGCTATTCTGAAGCATGCATCTGTATTTCGAGAAACACTGTAGGGGAATACAGCTGGCAAGAGATAACTCTGATTCCATGCCACCACCCTAAAACAGAATTGCTTCAGAATATTCTGAAAGACTGAGCGTTGAAAGGAATGGAGGCTGCAGAAAAAGCTCAAGCACATTGTTATGACAATTTTTAATAAAGCGATTAACCTCAGCCATGCGAGCACTTGGGTGTGCAGCTCTAAAGAAAAGAAGGAAACGGAAGAGTTGTTTTAAATGTGCAGCATCAGTTCTGTGGACAACAGTAACAGTTCTCCCGTGGACAAATGTGCAGGACCAGTTCTCGGGGGGAAAGGGGGGGGCAGAGAGTTTGAGGGTTTTGTTCTTTTTGGTCTGGGGGGCCTTTTTGCTGCCCCTTTATTGTTTCTTTGTGGGCCATCTTCCCGGCTTTGAGCCATGACCATGCTAGCTATGGGTGTCCCCTGCAGTGACAACAGCTCATCCTGCTTCTCATTTCATGCTGAGGACCAGAGCGGGCCAGCACAATGCTCTCACTCCCCAAGAGCCAGAGGTTGTCACCCTCTCAGAGGGAGAGGTATTGGCCACCATTTTGGCCCAGGGTTCTGGAGTCAGTGTCCAGACCTGAACGGATCCTGCACCTTTAAAACGTGAAAATAAAAGTCGAAAAACAACCACCTCAACTTCTAAGTCCATGTGCACTTAAACGAAAGTGGAAAAACAGTGTATAAATTATATATATATACTTTATATATGTATGACTTTACATATATAAATCTGAAAAAAGTTTAGTCGGTTATTTCTTGATAAATAACGAAAGAAAAAAGCATGCCTGTTAGTTCTGTCCCTACTTAAATTCTAATGATAGGGACCTTTTTTTTGCTAGTTATGGTAGTAAACTCAGTCTTGACAAGGACATTTTGAAAATACCATTTTCTGACAGCTATCATTTTTTTGTGAGAAGCTTTCAACAATATGTTAAAGGATATATGGAAACTAGCTTTAAAGATTTCATTTTGGACCCCAAAATTCTAGACTTTTCCTTTTGAGGCAGCAGGCTTGCTCTCTAACATTAATTCCCGCACCAGCAGAAAAGCCCAGCTCCAGCCACCTTGTCTGGTTCCCCTCCCGCTGAGGCCTCTCCTTGGGAATGTTGCTCATATGACCCCAAGTAACTACGCCAGAGGGCCGTCGGCTTTCTTTAGCGCTTGGCCTCAGTGACCTAGCTGATGCATAAAGCAACCCGCAGCCGGGCTGGCGGCAGACACGACCACTGAAACCCATGTGCTGGCCAAGAGCTACTTAGGAAAGAGATTGCACTGACCACCAGCTGGAGGGACAACTTGGTCAAGCAGCTTCATGCTGGTTTTCTTCCAGATTTTCTTTATCACAGCTCGCAGCTCTTCGTTAGCTTGTTCCAGGTTCCCTGGATGCAAAGAGCAAGAGGAGAAAACAAGCCTTGCTTCTTGGTCAGCAATCCCTCTGCTGGGACCGTGCTGCTCCCCCCTCCCCCCAGCTGACCTGGGGAGGAGCATGGCCCTCGGGTGGCGGCACGGCCCTCTGATGGGTGCCCCTCCCCGCAGGCTCCCCGGTCAGGGGCATTCACACTACCTAACAGCTGCAGTCACTCCACCGTGGGAAGGACCACGTTTTACTCTGGAATCCATGTTCTACCTTCCCAAGCCCACACCTACACCTTTCCCGCTGCTCCCAACTAGAATGCCGAATCCTGCCTCTATCCTTGAAGACCCAGACTAAATTCCACCCACGTAAGACTTTCAATTCCCATTGTGTGGACTCATCTGTAGCACCCGCATCATCTTGGTCTTATCAGATGTGCTGATGTTTGTCTCCTCAACGGACATGTCAGTGCAGAAGGCCATCCCGCCTCCTGCATCCCTCGCTGATGCAGGTGGGGGCCAGGTGCAGGGGAGCCCACTGCAAGGAGCCCGTGAGCTTGCGGGGACTGGCTTTGCTGGAGAGAGTCACCCTGAGCTCCGGGGCTGCGGGAAAACAGCTGCCCACTGACTTTGCAGTGTCCACCGCTGGCCTCTCTTCCCCCTCCTCCCTCACAGTCTCTGCTTCTCCACCTCATGGTCACCCCTCCTCCTGCTGCAATTGCTTTCCATGCCACCTCTGAAGCTGCCACCGAGACAACAGCAATGGCCACGTTCCAGGCTTATTCTACCAGGGCTGAGTGTGGCCCCGAAGACCCGTGTGCTTTGGTCTCAGCTGGGAAGACGCTGGTCATAAGTGTTTCCCACCACGGGCCAGCACTGCAGAGGGGCTTCTGCAGGCATCATCTCACCTTATCCCCAGGACTCCCCTTGATGTAGGTGTGTTCCTTTCCTTACCACAGAGAAACAACCTACAGCTCAGGACAGGAAAACCCCTCCCAAAGGTCACACAAGCACGAAGAGTCAGTTGGAGGGAGCTGAGGGGTGACGGTGCCGACTCTGCCCTGATCTCCCACCTATTGTCGCTCTCTAGTAAGCAGTGGCATGAGTCGCCTCAAAACTCCCAGGGACAAAGTGAAGCATAAAGGAAGGAAAAGAGGGATGAGGGAGGTGGGAACAGTGCGTCCGCCAGCACAAAGGTTCTCACTGCACTCACCACGCCCTTCCCAGGGCCTCCCCTCAACAAGGAAAGGCTCAGACGGGAGAACACAGGTGGGAGGTGGCATCTCCTCCCAGTTCTCCCCCCGACCTGCTCCCAGGGGATGCTCACCTTCCGTCTTGATCTTAAGAGCTGTGCGGACCAAAGCAAACAGGGTTGCATTAAACATGACGGTCCCATCACTGTTGAGAGGCATGTTCATGGCAACTAGTCTCTGCAAACAGAAAGAGAAGCTTCTTACCAGCATGCGAAGGACTGATGGCAGCCGCAGCCCTTCCCGTAGTTACTCTGTTTCTCCCTCATCTCTTTTCCAGTCGACCCTAAAAATTTAACTCATCGGCCATTTGAGGAGCACCTACCAGCTGGGGCTCTGACACGACAAACATCAAAGCTTTTAGTCATGAAACACAAATGCTGGCCCGTGGGATGCTCTTGGTGTTTCACCTTGATTGTTTAATCATCTCACTGTCCCAGCGTTTTTCTCCCTTTCTCAAAAACTAGCTCTCCCTGTGTCCTGTGATCAGGCCTCCATTCTGGGCACCATCCTTCTGGCTGCCGTGAGGGTAAAATGTGGTGCCAGGTACAATGAGCCAGGCACAGGGCAGGGGACTCAGGTCCTCCAACAACTACAGCAGGGCTACGTGACTATTCCTGACACAGAGAGTGTCCTTTAAGGACCTGCCCTGGGGCGACCCTTGTGGAGTCCACATGGTTTCTGCAAGTGTTCGGTGCTTCGGGGCAGGGAACAATGGGTGTGGCTGGGAAAATCTCTGAAAGCTGGAAATACACAGTAGACTCCACTCTGCTACCTTGGGTCTGTCTAGAACCGGCCCAGCAACCCTGGAGTGCAGGCTGGCCGGGTTCCCACAGGGCAGACTTTCCACAGGCAAACCCTGCATTTCCCTTTTAGAAAGGGACTTCTTTTCGGTTGCTGCAGCCGACTCCAGGTGAGTCACTGTGAGCTCAGCCAGGGCTCCCAGGGAGCAGGGTCTGAGGTGAGAGCTGCAGAAATGGACCGGGAGGTCTGCACGCAGCCATGCCCGGCCACCACCTGTGCTCAGGAGAGGAGCGCCGGCCAGGGGGCACGGTGCCGCGTCCACCAGCACAGAGGCTAGCAAAGCCCGGGGACCCGGTCTTCTCCACTCCACCTCCTCAGTGGAGCCCTCAGCCACCTCCTCTCTCTCCCCTCCCACTGCCCTCACTCTGGCTCTTGTCACTTCACACCCAGACAGTCCCCACAGCTCTCCCGGGTGTCCCCTGCCCCCATTTACTTCTCCCTCTAACACGGAAGTCCACCCGTGCTTCTTCCCTGGAACTCAGCATGGCCTGGAAGGTTCCTCACAGCCACGCCGGGTGCGCCTGTGCCCTTCCACCACTTCCTCTTCTGTTCCAGTCGTACCAATGACGCCCCATTTTCTGCCTCTGCTCAGAGTTCTCTGTGCTCCTTCCATCTCTAATAAACCCCCACGTCTCTCCTCCTGTGCCTGACGCAAAGGTCACTGTCCCCTGCCTTCACCCAATGACGAATGACATAATTGCCCTCCTATTCCTATCGTTGGCTGACAGGGTGTCCCACGAGTGACACTCCTGGGAGTGCCTCAAGGATGGGAACCACGTGTCATTCGTCTCCGCATCCTGGGCGCCTGACAGCAGGTGTGAGGGAAGGTCACTGAGTGGTTTCTGAATGAACCAGGGAGTCTTTGCAAGAGAGGCTGTCAGACACCCAGGGGGACACTCACCTTACAGGCTACTCTGTGTGGGCACAGCTTCCCGAACCCCAGGGGCGGCTGGATGCGGCGCAGCAGGGTGACCACGTCCAGATGCTTGATCCTCCCCCTGAGACAAAGCAGAGCGTGAGGTCCAGGCAGCAGCGCTGAGCTTTCAGTCCATCCCACCTCCCCAAACCACAGCCCCCGTTCCAGAAACAGCCCCCACAAACAGCCAGGGCATCCTTCCCAACCTACTTGGCCTCGGGGTCGTATTCTGACCATATTCTTTTGAATTCGTCTAAATGGTGAGGTCCCAGAATAGACCAGTCCCGGGTCAGATAATCAAAGTTATCCATGATGACGGCCACAAACAGGTTGATGATCTGTGAAAGCAAATCAGAGGGAGGACCCTCAGCGGCAGTCATGAATCGGGCCGGACCCCGGTGGCTGCTTCCTCTGTATAGGGGCACGGAACCCGTGAACCCATTTCCCCAGAGCGGCTGTAGAAACCTCGCCCGGAGAACGGTTAACGAGGAAGCAGACTTCTGGCTTCCCGGGGTGGCTTTGGTATAGTCCCAGGGGAGGGCAGGGGGATGAATTATCTGGATCTTCGAAGCACACAACAGTGTTATCATTTCACTGCTACCAAATAACTCACACTCTTAAGTCACTGCTCTGTGCATGGGCTGTGACATTTTTATAAAGAAACCAGCAGTCCCGAGCAGTGGGACTGCCCAAGCCCGTGACAAAGCCTCGAGGCCCTGCTCACAAGGAAGGTGCTTACCATTGACAATTAAAACAAAAACCGGCCAAGCCTGCCAAGTGGAGGGAGGTGCTCATCAGCACAGAATACCCCCAGCAGGTGGGCGGGGCACCGTCCCTGGTCTGAATTCCAAATGCTACACCACACCTGCCTATTCAGAGGGGAGCCCTTCTGCTCACGTACCAGAAAGGCGCAGAGCATGTAAAAGCTGATGAAGTACACGATGGCGAAGTTGCTCCCACAGGAGTACTCCTCCCCGGGGTTGTAATCCGACTCGGGGTCACAGAGCTTCCCCGGGAGGCAGGCCAGCATGATCTCCTGCCAGGCCTCGCCGGTCGCACACCTTTTTCAGAGCGAGCAAAGGAAGGGCTATTAGTAAACGTAGAGGGATTTGAGGCTCAGATCTCTACAACATTTTAAGAAAAAAAAAAAAGTTTCTCATTGCAGCAACACCTAAGGAATTTGTCGACAAGCCAGTGTGAATTAGTGAAGATATGAAATTCCTATTTATTTTCCAATGCAATTTATTTCAGTATAAGTGGAGGCGCTGCTATAACTTCCTTTGATTTATATCAATCGATAAGAGCACATCAATTCTTTTTGTAAAATTAGATGTTTGGTTTTGTGCCTTCTCTTCTCTAAACCCTTATGTTAAAGTTTTTATCGATTATTCTCTTTTAATGACTTAACATATGACAACTTGATAAGACCCTGTTCACCTTGTTAAAAGCCAAGGACTGGAAACTGCCTAACTTGCAAATGGCTTGCTATCTGGCGACGGAGTCCTTATCAATTACTTGTATAATTTCTAGAAAGTTCTCTCACTTTGAGGCACCCTTGTTTGCAGAGTTAATTAACTGGGGTTAACAGCAACCCTGTAAAATTTCAAATTCCACATCTTACGATGTGCCCCCACTGGCTGTGCAAAAGGCTTCTGTGCTCCTGCAAAACCTCTGTCTTCCTGGTTGTGTCTCAGTGGGTGCTCCCATGCGTACGCTCATCTCCTTCCAGTTCCCTGGTGGCCTGAGTAGACCCACTAACGCCCAGAGGGATAAACCTTAAACCACCACAGTCGAAATGAACACAGCAGTTTCTACAAGCCAGCAACACTCCCCTGTGGCTGAGCGGTTATTGTCTCTGCTTAAGAACACAAAACAAACAAGCACAGAAAGCCACCGGGACCAACTGGGAACGGCCACGCTGGTGAGTAACTCATGTCCTCTGTCACTCTGCAGCCCGCAGCTAGAGCCACGCCCCGTGCAGGGCTCCGTCACCTGAAGAGCAGCAGCACCGCCTGGGGAAAGGTCTGGAAATTGTTGTTCCTGTTGATCTGGTTGTTGTCTCTCATGGCAACTTTCCCAAACATCTAGGTGGAGAAATTATTAGGGGAAAAAAAGAATAGATTTTGTCATTTTAAAAAAAGAAACTCTCCCTGTCTGAATTTAGAACTAACTCAAATTCGATCCACACCCACAGGGCTTTCCCACGTGCCGGGCACCTCATTTATTCACAAAGATGTGCCGGGCACTGTGCTGACCACAGGAACACGTGGCGGCAGATACATTCTCCCCTCAGGGAGTTCTGACCCTGGAGGAGGGACAGGAAAGCGAGCACCAGGCAGCAGCCCTCGGATGAGAGCTGGTGGGCCAGCTGCACAGGGGGGCACAGAGAGGTCCGCAAAGCTCAGGCAGGGCCTTGGGTCAGGGAGGCTCCTGGGAGTGAGCTGAAGGCCCAGAACTGAGGCCTCGGAGGTGTGCCAGGAAATTAAGAGGACGGGTGTGCACAAAGGTCAGGCTGCAGACCAGCGTGGGGCCGTCGGCCACGGAGGGCAGGGTGGGCTTGCCCTCCAGGGTCAGGGGAAGTTAGGAAATACGTGTGGGACTCAGAGAAGCAGACTGACATTTGAGGAGAACATGGCGCAGGCTAAGCCTCCCACGTGGTACGTGCATGCAGTTCCCAGCTCTCTGAGACAGCTCTGGGCTAGGTGAGAGTGTCCTCCCAGAGAGGGCCTTTCAGGGCACACAGCGCACATGCTGTTGAATGACAGGGACCCTAGCATGTGACGCTTGGTTCCTAATGCCTGCTAGGATTCCTAGCGACTTGTGAATCCTTCTCTGCCTTTGGAATAAAAGAAATAAGCATGACCCCTTCTCTCCTCTGGAATCACGCCACCTCTTTACACTCGCACCCCTCCCTTATCTGGAAGAGGGTATCTACCGAACCCACAGAGTTTGTGGCAGACACCACCCAGGAAGGTTTGGCTCCACTGGGGGCTCCCCACCTTCCCCTCCTCCTGGAGGCTCTGCCCACTGCAGCTTTGGGTCAGGGCTGCTGTTGATGAAGACCCCGTCCTGTTCCCCACCACGGGAGGAGTTGGCCAGTAGCCTGTAGCCCCCCAGCCGGGTCACAGAAGACTGGGTCTCATGCTTCTCCTCAGGGTGCTACTGAGGCAAGACAGTGGTCCCAGGTCAGATGCAGAAAATAGGATAATCTTGGCTTCTCTGCGTCTGGCATTTCCTGTTGTTAAAATCAACTATGGATTTTCTTGATCAGTTGACTCTCCCAAGACTCGGAGTGGAGGTGAGTGGAACCACCAAACCCAGCTTTTCTTGGCTTAGTCCAACCCCTCCTTGCTCTTCTGAGCCTGGCTCTCTCTGTCACAGGCTCCTTCCTTTAGAGCCACATCTTTCTTTTAAGCAGCAGTCGTGTTGGTTTTCCATTCCACCTGGTGAAGGTGCATCTTGCCCCAGATCTGGGACTACCGAGCGAACGGGGCCCTGAGCTCACCTGCATGCCGATGACCGCGTAGATAAAGAACAGCATGGCTATGAGGAGGGCGACATACGGGAGCGCCTGGAAGAGAGGAAGCACCCGGCTCAGCGCTGGCCTCTAGTCCCCGTGCTGCTCGGTACAGACTGAAGACCCACACGGGCCCACATGCTTTTCTCTTCCATGTTATATGGAAAGAACATCACAGAGAGAATGGACTTTTTAAACCCTAGCCCAGCACAATGACTTCAGTCCTGAAGATGCCAGCCATGTGCACACCTAGTGTCACAGAGCTGCAGGCAGGACAGCTTCCCACAGTCGTGAACAGTGTACCCTAACCCCAGGCAGTGTCACCACCGACACTCCACTCTCATAATAATGCTTACATTTAGCACTGATTCCTTTGTGAAAACTCTACAATGGATCAAACCATTCCAGATCAGACATTCAGATGGCTCCCACTTGCTTGTGTGGGCCTGTGTGCATGGGAGCGGGGGGCTCCTGTAGTTCACCTTGCCAAGGACTAGCACTTTGCAACATCACCTGGCCATCTGCTGAAGTGCTCCCTTAAGGAGAAGTCTTAGGGGTGGAATTACTGGGCCAGAGGGAAAGAACCACTTTCTGGCCGTCACTGTAGAAAACAAGACACTTTTCTTAAAATGCACACTTTCTGAAAGAACCACTGAGTTGGGGGTTGGGCCAGGGAAGAAAGGAGCTACCTGGGTGGTCGTCAAGCCTGGGTTCTCCTTAGGAACATCAGATACGAGCCTGTGCGTCAGGTCAGAACCCTGGTCCTCTGACCCAGTGTTCTTCAACTGCTGTTTTATCTCATCCCACGTGACAGATGCCCATGTGCCTGGCATACCTCCAGGGAATGCCCAGATTGTTAGCCCTAATGCCAGGCACACGTTTAAAGCATCGACGTCCTCTCCTGTCTGCTAAAGGCCAGTGGCTGTGACACTTCCCGACGACGTGTGCCATCTCCGCACCTGTGACTGGCCCGGGGCAGTAACACCATCCTGGCGGCTGGACCGGTTCACTGAGTCCACAGGGTGAGGGTCAGGCTTTCCTATACCTACATGCATTTTCTTCCTAGTTTATGGAATATTTACGAATTCTGTTGGCACCATTTCTCAGGTTTTATGAACTATTACTCCATGACATGAATTTATCTGTTAAAAAAGTTTAGCAATTTCTTTAAAAGTAAGAATGACATTATTACATGAATTCATTGTGTTTTTATAGCAGTTCACAAACTGATGCTTTCTCCACTCCATATTAATAACAACTGTCTAGGGCAGCGGTTCTCAACCTGTGGGTCGCGACCCCTTTGGGGGTCGAACGACTCTTTCACAGGGGTCGCCTAAGACCATCGGAAAACACATATATAATTACATATTGTTTTTGTGATTAATCATGATGCTTTAATTATGTTCAATTTGTAACAATGAAATTGGGGGTCACCACACATAAGGAACTGTATTAAAGGGTCGTGGCATTAGGAAGGTTGAGAACCACTGGTCTAGGGTTTCATCCCTTACCAAGATCCAGGCTCACCCGCCTCAGGCCCCGCTCCGCCTTCCTGTCTCAGAGCTGCATTCTGGCTTCTCCTACATTTCCCCACCAGGACTTGTGATTTTCCTTCTTTGAGGTCCTGGATCTACTCCCTTCTCCTCCTTATGTGTTCACATCCTACCCACTGTGGAAAAACGCTTCTTGGGATGTCAATGCTGGTCACCTCAGAGGTGGTGGGGGTCAGTGTGAACTTTTTCTTTATATATTTTTGGATCGCTTCCCTTGTTAATGTGAGCATTTATTACCTTTGAATTAAAATAGTCAAATAATAATAATAATAAAACAAGATATAAGATTCATTCTCTAATGCTTGTGCCTATCTACAAATTCCCTACATGGGTGTACCTTTCTAACAAGAATCTATACCGCTCTCAGTCCAGAGGACTCGAGTACCGGGTGGGGTGCTGGAAGGCACGGGAGAAGCCAGGTTCTGTCCAGGAATAGACTAGAACTGGGCTGACCAGCCTGAAGAATCACAAATGACGATGAGACCTGGCTTATGCCTAAGTGTCCTCAACTCCGTTACCCTCCCAGGCACTGGCTAAGACACTGATGAGATGTGCTGGCCCTGGTGAAGTGGTCCCTGATTCGTATCTAGACCAGCTGACAGGACCATTGCAGTCGTATGAGGAGAAGCCACCCTAGCAAGAGGCTGTGAGGGTTCTGGGGTCTTCTGGGACCCAGCACGCTCTCGGACATCACCATTTACCACCGGACCCGGGGAGGACCAGACTGAGTACTCAGAGGCTCCACATCTCTCAGAGTTGAAAATGGTGCAGAACTCTCAGGCGCAGGTCCTTACTGCTTTCTTTTCTGCTTCCTTTAAGGAGGTAATCCTATTTCATTTACCCAAGTAACAAAGGGTTGGGTCTCTCCAGCATTCCATATTCTCTATTGTCCTAGGTGGTCATGTGACCCAGGCAGTCAGGTGACCTAGGAGGTCAGTGGTCATGCAGAAGAGAGTCTGGATCTGCCACGATGGGGGACAATCACCGACTTGCATAGGCTCTTCAGAGACAAAGAGAAGCCCGTGGCCCGGCTCTTACCTGAAAGGACTTAATGAAGGTCCACAGCAGCGTCCGGATGCCTTCCCCCCTGCTGAGAAGCTTCACCAATCGCATCACTCGGAAAAGACGGAAAAAGGTGATGGAGATTCTATTGCTCTCTTCAGAGTTCTGAAGGGTTATCATGGAGAGGTCAAACCCAATGGAAAGTAGAACATGCAACACTTTCAGAATAACAGCAACAGATGCAAACACAGGTGACAGAAGTAAGAACTGAAGATGTGTTTCTAGGGCCTTTTCACCTTGAAAGGCATGATATGAAAGGAGAAGTTACATGCTAACAACACAGGGCGTGGAAAACTGCGTCCACACAGCACATGCATGTCCACGTGGTCTAGTGTGTTAAGAGGTGAATGCTGGGCTGGTCAAGAGTACTGGACACTGATGATGAATGCAAACCACTGCAGACACTGTTCTGGAAGAACAATCATGGAGAATACAGAAACACTGGGGAAACTCGACATGGCCAAATAAACTCGAGGAAAAGGCCCAGCCCCTGGGCACTAGTCGCTGGTCTTACCCCGGGTGGAGCAGTTGGGACAGGGATATTTTCACTTTCAGTTGGCTTTAAGAAATCAAAGATTGAACAGGAATTAATGAACTGGGAAGGAAGCAGTGGTCCGGGAGGACATCCCCTCCCCCCTTTAAAAAATGTGTGGCTAATGTCTTAGGACGACACACCTGCTCCCTCCCTGAGAAAATGCCAGGGACTCTGCTTGGAACTGGACTTGAGGGCGGGCAGCCATGGACCCAGGCTCACACTCCTTTCTAAGTCACCTCCAGGATGTGAGGTTCCAGGGCTGACAGGCGCCCAGGAACGATAATGCTGCGAGACCTCAGCTGTCCCTCTGTCAGAATGCAGAGTGGGGCTCTCTGTGTGTCTTCTGGGGAGCCTGGCTCTCTTCGCTGCATCTGAGCTGTGGGTCTCAGAACTCACTGCTTTGCAGTGGGCCAACCAAACTCTGAGGAACAGAATGACTCTACCAAACGGGGCGAATGGAGTGGCAGCTGCCTGTGGCCCACAGGCGCCCTGGACCACACTCTGATCCTGGGGCCACACGCCTGGGCAGTGTGTGTCCCATGATGCCATCTCTGGCAAGGCTGCTGGGGAGCTGGACAGACTGAGCCAGTGGGGGCAGGAGATCTATTTTCCCTTCACTGCCCACTGGCAGCTCAGACTGCTGATAAGGGAGACAAAGCTCAGCTCTGTGTGACTACTGGGGAGCAACAGCTCAGGACCAGCCTGCCCTGAGCTTCGGCAGCTCTGCCCCAGCAGAGGTCTGGCAGGGCGCCTGGAGCTGGGGCCCCGGGGTGCAGAATCACAGCACTCACCGCCCTGTATCACTGCCTCCCCCTCAGGCTGGGAGCCCCCAGAGGGCAAGGACCTTGCCTCACTCCACTCAGTGCCCAGCATGGGATCTGGCACTTATTCGATGCTCGATAAGTGCTTCAGAAAACGCAATGAGGATGTAAGAAAACTGTAGCAAATATCAGGAGGCATCTTTACATTAAACAGGGAGGGCTGAACAAGAACCGGGGAATGAGGGCCTTTCGCTTCCCTTCGGGAGTGGCACCTCTGCGGAAGCAGCTGGTCTACCCGGTGACCCCCAAGGCAAGGAGGCCCTTCTGGTTGGGGCCCAGCACTGCAGCGTGCGCTTCGGCTGCTAAGGCAGCCTTTCCACACGCACGGTGCCTCAGTGCAGCTAAGGGCTGTGTGCGCTGTGGACACGCACTCTGATCTGATGGGTCCTCCTCCCCAGTGATACAGGGACCATCACGGCTCCATTCTGAAGCCTCACTCTTGTCAACAGCTGCCTCTTAAGACCAAAAATAAAATTCCACAAAACTCCTGGAAAAATTTGGGCACATCCCATCACAACTGAAATTCAGCAACGTGATTGCGCACCCAGGACTGTACGAAGGGGCTCCTGGGCCACCTGGGGTGCTTAGGAGGTGAACTCTGCAGTGGGTCTGCCCAAGCCCCAGGTCACCGTTTTTATTCTCCTCTTCTATCATCTCACCTCAAACAACTGACATCTCCTGAAAGGGACAGATGGTGGTATTCAACTTAAGACTTTAACAAATGAAGGAATTAGTTCTGCTGAGCTCTCGGTGTCTCCCAATGTGTGCAGGAAGGCTTTCGGTCAGCCATGCAGCTGGATGTGAGGCTGTGAGAGAGTGTGTGTGTGTGTGTGTGTGTGTGTGTGTGTGTGTGTGTGTGTGTGTGTGTGTGTGTGTGTGTGTGTGTGTGTGTGTGTGTGTGTGTGTGTGTGTGTGTGTGTGTGTGTGTGTGTGTGTGTGTGTGTGTGTGTGTGTGTGTGTGTGTGTGTGAGTGTGTGTGAGTGTGTATGCCTGTGCACACCTCTGACGCCTATGCCAAGGGGACCTGAGCGGGCATAAGACAGAGCCCTCTGCAGCACACACTTGAAATGTCTATACACAGCCTGTGAGTTGGGCCTGTGGGTGGGGAAGACACGCTTCCTGGCCACCTGCGCTGGCCAGGCCCCTTCTGCTGCTGCTTCTGTCCTGCTCCGAGTCTGACAGACCTTGCACCGCCCCCTTCCTTCTGACATGGGTAAGTCAGCAGCCACCCTGACTTTCCAAGTGCCCATCTCTCTTTCAATCGATGTCTTTGAAGTTGACAAATCTTGGGCTATGGACTTGAAACCATGGATATTCTTTTGTTTAAAAAAAAAAAGCAAAGAGGAGGAGGAGACAGCATTTGTGGGGGGACAAGGCAGCACAACATGCACGGGAGGAGGGCAAGAACAAACAGCACATCAAGCGGCGTGCACCGAGCGGCCACACTGGGCCAAAGGCTGCTCGGGGGAGGTGTCGCTGGCAGCACGAGGGACAGTGCAAGCTGCTAAAATATCTTACACCTTGGAAGGACCCTGAGGATGGCTTTGCTCAGACTACAAATGCCAGCCTGCAGAAAGGGCAGGCCAGCACATTAGGATTGCCCAGGGATCATTGACGAAATCTGATGGCTAAGTCCTGCCCCAAAGATTCTTATTTCATTGATGGGGGGAGGGGTGCCTAAGCTTTGGGCTTCCAGGTGATTCTAACTAACGTGTTGCCAGAGGCAGGAACTGCAGTCCTGACCAGGGGAAAGCTGGGCCACATCTCCAGCGGACCGCCCACACCAGCTATCTCTCCCTGTAGGTACGGATCGGCCCTGCAGAGTGGGAGCCCTAGAAAAGCCCACCGGGGCTGTTAGAGCCGACCATGGGTTCTTTGGAGGTTGAGGGGGTTCAGTACTTGTATGCACAGATTAGACCCCACCCCATCTTCCTCACAAGGAGTGGAGGAGGACACTGCTGGACCCTGAGATCAACCACTGGACACCCCAGATGGGGCAAGGACTTGCTCCCCAGGCAGCTGTTAGAGGCTGCGTGATCAGTCTCCAACAGAGGGGATTCCCGTGTCATCTCACGGCTTGGATTAGATGACCTCAGGGGCTCCTTCCAAGCCTGGGATGCCACAGTCATCAGCTGGGACCCCTCCAGAGAGATGATCCACAGCCTCGGGAGGCCAAACGATATGCTGGGTCAGGAAGCTCCCGAGGCCCCTGGGGCTCTCCTGATGTTCGCCCAGCCCCTTCCCACAGGGCTCCCAGGCAGGCTCCTGAGATGCAGGCTCAGGGTCAGCCCCCAACAAGTGCAACCAAAGGGATCAGTCTGCACTTTCTGAATTAATTCTCACCTTTTGCTGGAAAAGCTGAAAGGATGTAATTTTTCAATTCAGACAGGAAGCAAACCAACATCCCAGAACCAGTTAACCTGAGGTGCCCTGGAGAACCCAGTCTTTGTGGGGGGGCCCTCCCTCTGATGACTTCTGACCTGGCCTGTAACACCTCCGGGAGGAAGGACTTGCTGAGTCTGTGTCCAGAAACCAGCAACCTGGTCCCCAGAAAAGGGTGAGCATATGGAATGGGGGTTGGACAACCTGACTATGGGGTCAGAACAAGAAGTTGACTGCAGCTATTGGACACCTGGTCCGAACTGGGTCCCTGACAAGCCAGGGACAATTCTAGGGTCCCTGGAAGTGGGCTCCCTACTGACCTTTGACATGCTCTTCTGTAGGTAATAAAAAGGCAGACATGGGTTCTACATAAGTACGCTGCCCCCCAGCAATGCTGGTAATGGCAAAGCAGCCATTCTCAGGTTAGGGAGAACATGATGCATTTCACCAAAGAGCAAACGGGCATCTGAGAGGGAGCAAAAGTGAGCCTGCCAGGCATCGTCTGACATTTTAGCAGCTTGGTGATGTGGCGATGAAAGTGATGGAGACGAGTCCATGAGAGAGATGAAACCATGACAGAGCAGGCCGGGGCCACGGGAGGGCGACAGGAGGGAGAGGGCTGGGTGAGCATGCAGGCAGGACAACGGAAAGGGCCATCCAAAATGTTTCTGCAAAGAATACAATGCAAGCTCGGTTTCTCATTTCCAGGTCGGATCATTCATTCCTGAAGATTTTGCTGGCAAGCCACAGGGCCAAGCACGACTGACCACGACGGCCTCGGCTCAGGCCCAGGCTGGAGACCACAAAAGGTGAGCGGGAAACAATTTAGATGACCATGACCAACAGCATGTCCTGTGAAACTCAGCGAAAACCAAAGGTGGGGAAGCCAAAAACAAGTATACAGTCTTAAAGTGCGCTTGCTTTAATGACTTCACCGTATATATGTATATATATACTTGCCGCTACAATTTTCTAAAAATAAAACCAACATGAAAATCAATTAGGCAACAGAAAATAAAGATCAACAGAGGTTGGGGGAGAGAGCACAGCAAGTTAATATTGCAAATAATGATGACGTATGGCAGCTAAAAACAGCCAACAATGGACCAAGAGCGTTCATGCTCAGCTGACCCAGGAGCTCTGGGGACAGGCCACTAAGAGACACACTAGGTGCTGCTACTCTGGAGGACGTGGCAGATGCGGGCGAGGGGGTACAGGAGTCAGAAGCCCCGCTGAGCTAGCTATACCATCAGAGGTCAAGGACACCCGGTCTCGTTTATCTCTGTGCCTCCCCAAAGCTTCACCTATGGTCTGAGAATTGTAGATGTGCAATAAACATGTGTTGAAAGACTGAATAAACGAGAAGGTGGCTGGAGCATCCGTTCTGCACTGAGGCCTCACACAGAAATGCTGAGAGCTCCCACTGTGGCACTCCACTGGCCCACGGCAGAGAGCTGGCATTGCCACCCGCTGAGGAAGGTTCGGCCTCAACCCACGTCTGGCTGGGAAAAAGTCACTGACTGAAAGGACAGTATGGCAATGATTACCTGTGTGATCCTGAAAGTCTCAGTGAATGCCGGGAACGGGCCCAATGCCAGACTGTTCTGTGCAGGTGCCCTGGTGCCAAATGCTAACTAGAAAACTTAGTGTGGGCTTCTGTAGACCTGACTAATGACGGTCATGAAGGAGGACAACACGGAGACACTGATGAGCGAGGCTGGGCCAGCGGGGACAGAAGCAGTGGGCTCCTGCGCCCGGCACAGGGAGAGGCAGCCAGGCAGCCGGGCAGGTGCTGTCGCTGCATGAACCGGTGCCACACCCCGCCAGTCAGCAGGTGGGTCCGGCATTGGAGAGCTGGCTTGTTCACCCAGTAAACAAGCCTTGGCCACATCCTGGTGCCCAGAAACTAAGCCTTTACACCCGACCCCGGCACGAGGCTTGCAGCCCCGAGCGCTCTAGGGAGACCTACTGAAAGTGTAGTTTATTACATTTTTGTTTCCATTACAGACCACCTCTGACTTCCACAGCGTCTGCTTCAGAATTTCCATGCAGTACACGGTGATGTAAGTTATAAGCGCCTTTTACAAGATGACGAAGCAGACAGATGTCTGCTCATCAACTCGGAGAGAGCCCAGCGGCAGCCCAGTTAGGGTCCTGCTGTTCTCCCATTAGCATCAGATGACTGTATGACCAAGACTAACTTATACATTATGAATGGCATTTTATAGCTGACGTATGGAATATCTCACATGAAGTGAAATTTTCCTAAGTCTGGGCTTATGGAGGTTAGGGAATGTAAAATGCCATTTTGTGCCTTGTCATGGCATGGATTTGGGTGTTATGAGACTTAAATCACACATTCACACACATGCCAATGTCTTAGTCCATTTCACTCATTACTGCATGGGAAATCTCCCTACCATTTTGCATTTTTTAGCAAGTATTTTCACAAATAGTCATATCATTTTATCACAACATACCTAAGAAGCAGGGAGAACAGGTTTCATTCACTCCAGTTGACCCAAGAAAGAAGCAAGGACCAGATACAACAGGTCGTTTGGAACAGGACTAGACCCACCAGGCCTTGGGACTGCATGTCCCACTGTTCTGCTCTCCAGAATCAGCCCAGCCCCAAACAGGTGGCAGAAAGGGTTCTCATTGTCCTTATTTGACACAGGCTGTCTGGGCACCAGGATGGACCGTGCGATCCTGCCGATGTCAGCCAGGCAGAGCATGGCAGCCGAGGGTGGGGAGTGGCGAGGCTGGGGAGGTGGAGCAGGAAGCCAGCACTGCACAGCGGTCCCCACGAAGGACTCGACACAACCTGGCACACACACTGGACACCCACGAAGACTGCGGATGACCTGGGACAGGCCAGGTGGGCACGGCCATTTCTGCCTGCCTCGCGCCCATCGGTCTCGCCCAGGGTCAGACCCGAGAGGAGCCAGCAGGAGGTGGGGCTCCCCTTTCTCAAGCCTCTCCATTTTGGAGGGGGGTTCTTGGGATGCTTCTTGGAGGGAGGGCCGCTACACCTACCATGCTGCTTAGCCCCTCATCAAAAGATTAACTGAGGGCGGCAAAGGAGTACTGACTCCCCCCCGCCCTCGGATGCACACTAGGCCTCCTTCCCCTGGTCCTGGGCAGCTGTCCAGCTGCATCACTATTTTGGGAGCTGGGATGGGGACGTGCCCCAGTGCCACCAGTTGGACTCAGCAGACACAGGACAGGACAGGTGAGGACACCAGCAGCAACGGCCACATGCTCAGGGCACAGCTGTGGGATTTCCCTCCTGTGCCTTCGCAGAACCACTGTGGGTACCAGGGCACACATTATGAACTCCATTTTATAGCTGGAGAAACTGAGGCACAAAGCAGGCAGGTGACGTGCTGATGTGTGCACTCACATAACTCCTAGCCCTTAACACTGTAATGAGATATTCTATTGAAGTGTTTTAGCTCCAAAACAGTCATTCTACATTTATTTTCCCCGTCTCTTTCAGGGGAAGCGAGTGGGGTGAGGGGGGGGAGACCAAAATTGGTCTTAATCTTTCAAGAGAAATGTGTGCCTGAATTTCTAAAACATACAGAGAACCTTGGGGTGGGGGGTTTTTTTTAGGGGGTTCGTTTCTGGTCTCCTCTATGTCAGACTTAACGAGAAAACAATGACGTTGTAGGACACAAAGTTTGCTACTTACATTCACTTCAGTTATAGCAATATCAACGACGCTACCAACAACAATTAAGGCATCAAAAGTGTTCCATGCATCAGTGAAATAGTGCTGTTAGGGCAAGCATTCAGCCACAGAGGAGAGGAAGCACACAGGAGAAAAGAAGAAAAGGACAGTGTTATCAACAGGGAACATTCTAGCATTATGCCACCCGGCTACCTGAAAAACTGCCCTGAAACAAACATGTTATAGATACATCACCTTGGAGATCACTGCTGATACAGAAAACAAGCACAGTCAGAGACGCCTCGCCTGCCCTGCCTACCGGTGCCCTGGGTAACGCTGCAGAACAGTCCGTCCTCCACAAGGTGGTCTGTGTCTAAAAAGGCCCAGGCTGGGGCTCTGCCTTGTAAAGCCTCTTTTCTGCAGCTCCTACTGGGAAACTCCTGGTTTTAGGTGAAGTGAGGCTGGGGTCTGTGACTTGTCCAGGTGATGCCAGTGCGGGCAGGGAGCGGGATGTACACAGAAGAAGGGCAAGAGGCGGGCGGCCGCGGGCGGGCGCATACTCACGTCGGCTTCGCTGAGGGCCACGTCTATAATGCTGCCGATTACGATGAGGGAGTCAAACGTATTCCAGGCGTCACTAAAATACCCCTGGACAGAGCAGGCAGGGGGCAGACATTTATGAGCATGTATGAATGAAACGCCACACGGACCATATGGGCACACATCCAAGGCCCCGCAGCACCCTTGGCAACCAGGGTGGGAAGCCAAAGGGAGGCAATACTACTGCCCAGTGGAAAGGGACACAGTGGATGGTGTGCGCCTGCATGTGTGAGAGAGGCTGCCCATACGCATAGACACATGTACACATGCACGCACGCACGTACACACATGCGCGCACTCACACACACACATGCACGCACGCACACACATGCACACGCACACACAATGCAGACCCATGGTCCTGAGCAGCATAACCTGAGAAGAATATCTGCAGGACACAGGGAGGCATTTGGCAACTCTGCCCTGACACCCAGGGTGACAGGCCCAAACCTTCCTATGCTGATGGAAGAGCAAGCCCCTCCGACTCCTTCCACAGGGACCCACCCAGTCACCCACCCCTTCTCCTCCACTTAAAGAACACTGTCAGCAGACATTCCACACTTTCTTATTTCTGTGCCCTTAAAACAAACCAGTAACCCTTCCCCCTCCTCGCCAGCCAACAAGAATTACAAAGGGCGTGCCTGAGACAATCCCTGTCTCTCAGCGCTCTTGGTCTAGCAGGGCAGACACGGGCAACAGGCAATGGCTGGCAGGGAGGCGGGCACCGGGGTGCACACAGGTCCCTGTCCTCTCAGCGCTCTCGGTCTAGCAGGGACAGACACGGGCAATGGCTGGCAGGGAGGCGGGCACCGGGGTGCACACAGGTCTGAGGCACCGAGTCCTGGCAGAGAAGCTCACTCTGGGGAAGCCAGGCTGTTTGTGGAGGAAAAGAGCACTGATGGATGATGAAGGTGCTCAAGGGCTCCCACTGCCACCAAGGGAAGCCCCCAAGTCACCAGCAGCTCCTCCTTGCACCCAGCTCTCCCTCCCTCCCTCCCTTCCTCCCTCTCTCCCTCCCTTCCTCCTTCCCTCCCTCCCTCCCTCATCCTCCAGGCTAAGAGGATGCCTTTCCATCCCTCAAAACCACCACCAGGTTCTTCCCCACCTCCTGACGCCTCCCCACCCCTATGAAGCCACAGAAAACGTGGGCATGTTGGCTGTCCTAACAGCGGGAGAAGGCACCTTTATTTTGGTTTCTGTCCATCACTCCAGGGCATGCACGGGGGAGCTATGACACTGACTGATTTGGGTTTTTACAAAATTTCATCTTAAATAGAGTAAGATTTTCCCACCCAACTGCCATGACTTCTGACCCATCTTTACCTCTCTCCTCCCCTCTTACAATCACAATGCCTCAGCCATGTGCTACCCTCATCGACGGCCACCTCCCAGCCCCATCTCAGTCCTGTAGCAAGTCAACAACAGGAGTTCACCTGCACAACTCTGATGGCCTGTGGGTCAAGTCTAATGGGAAGGTCTACTTAAGAAATACCAACTGAAAAAAAAATAATTGAGAGGATGGTACAACAATTTCCTGTATACTCCTAGCTCCACACATGTACCGCCTCTCTCATTGACAACATCTTATGAAATTGTGGAGGACCCATATAAAAGAGAGAGAGAGAGAGAGAGAGAGAGAGAGAGAGAGAGAAGAGAGACCACATCCTACGCCTTCTAGTTTTCTTCTCACAGCGTGTGATTCTTGGCCGGCAAAACCGAGGAAAGATGGGCCGCTCTGAGGACTAGGCTAGTGCTGCTAACATGCAGTCATGCTGGTCGGGGATGAGATAAAGAGCTACGCCAGGACCCAGAGGAACTCACTGCCTACTTCAGCGAGGAAGTCTCCGGACCGGCAGTGTCAGAGGGCACATGAGTGAGGCTGTGGGCATCCCAGGACCGAAGGGTACAAGTTCTCTTTGAAACGATGTGCACTGTTGCGATGGGTAACACTCAGTGGCTGAGGAGCAGCCTTGGCAGATCGCTGAGGGGCAGGGCCTGCCCTTTCCTTCGGGACTTAGCAACTCAAAAGCCAGAGTGTGGTGGGCCTTCCCTCCCCTCTAGAGGGATGGGTGCCTCAGAATCATCCATGGCTTCCAGTAACTGCTGGGCCTCTGGCGTACACACAGAGCAGAAGCCAAGCATCCCTCCTCCTGTCCGTCCGGCACACAGACAGCCCACAGCTCACTGCCCATGCGCTCAGCTCCACCCATTACAGCCTGTCATTTACCTGAGGCCATGCCCACTACTGCGCTGGGTGCCAGCCCTGTGGCCTACTTTGGACTTTACTCCTGAACAGCTCCTCTCTCGCTGTCCAGAATCATCAGTATTCACCTTGGGATCATTCCCATCAACTGGGAACAAACTATTGTCCAATGGGGCCACTGCAGCCATGATGCTATATAAAATCACTTTCAATTGACAGGATAGGGGCCTGGCATTGGAGCTCCTGGAACTTTTGGGCAATCCCTTCAACTCTCTCTCCAGAGGATCCCTCACACTCACAGAACCCTAGAGGCTACACCCCTAACCCAGGCGACAGGAGGCTTGAGTTGGGACAGGGGGCTGGAAACAATGGCTCCGGCCCCGACCAGGTGGCTCTGCTAGGTCCCGGGGAGGCAGGAAATGCCAGCCTGCCTTTCTTCCCACATCCTGTTTCCCGGTTTAGTAGCCGGCTTTGTAATAAAATTACTGTCAAGTGAGCATGACTCAGTCCCCCATTGCTTTCCCACCAAAGTCTGGTATAACCCGAAAATGAGACATTGGCTTCCAACAGAGGGCCCTCTCCATCTCCCTCGGCCACTGACACACAACACATCTCCTACAGCTGAGTTCTGAGGCCGGGGCCCTCAAGTGGAACCAGCAGCCCCTACCAGCCCAGCCAGAGTCAGCCCTTAGATTACTTTTGTCCAGCGCCACCTGCAATAACATCTATGACCCAAAACAATTCTGACTCCAGACATTTAAAATCAGAAACCAGACTAATGTGGGCCTTGAGGCCAGGCAACTCCATCACGTCCAAGAATTCTATCCTGGTTGCCTGTCGATGTCTGGTCTGAAGCCAGGAGGTAGCACAGACTTGGCACCATGGGGGAGGAAGCCTGTGGAATGGCTGCATACGGGGAACAGGAGCCCAGCCCAGGGTCTGTTTGCTGCCCAGAGTCTCTCTCCCATCTGCACATCTCAAGAAGCCTCTTACAAAGGACCTGCTCCTGTGGCTGACCATGGCAGCCGGGTCATTTAGCAGTTTCTGCCAGGGCAGGATTGGACTCAAGGTATGACCCGTTGTGCCAACTTTTCACAGAAGCTGTAGCTGGCAGCTTTCTAACTAGCAGAAGCCTTTGCAAAGGTCAAGTGAGGGTTTACAGGACAACATCCTCACTTTTGCCCACCTCTACTCTGCCCAAATATCCTGTGATAGAAAACCAGGTGCCCTTATGCCAAGAGGGTATCCCTACGGGCTCATCCATTTATTCCCGTCTACAATCCCTAGTCTTTATTGAGTAAACAGCCTGCAGCAGGCATCGTGGGAGACGGAGAAGACCCAGCCTGTGGCATCACTAGTGGAGAGAGAGGCGTGGAGTAGCAATGATGATGCTAACGCACCATAGGCATCTAACCACACAATGCATGGGAAGGGGCTGGCTCGGGCTGGGTTGGTAGGGACAGTGTCAAAGAGGAGCCAACAATTCAGACAGGCTAAAGGATAATAGGCAGAAGCATGTGCCATGGAAAAGTCTAGCATGTAACCAGCTAGGGATGGGTGTGGAGAAGGAATGACAGGAAGAGAGTGGCTGGAAATGAGGCAGAAACGTAAATGGGCCGAGGTTTAGTGGAGACTTTGACATGAGACTAAGAAAACTATGTTTCTCATACAATAGGTGGCCAGTGCCAGAATTTCATTGGAAGAGGGCACAGTCAGCTTAGGGTTCACAAAGGGAGTCTGTGGAAGACGAGCAGCGAGGGGCTGAGGCCAGAGGCAGGGAGATGGTGTAGCTGTCAGGGTAACTTGGAAAGGAGGCAGGAGAGATTGGGATGCTATGGGGGTCATTGGACTCAAGGTATGACCCATAGTGCCAACTTTTCATAGAAGCTGTAGCTGGCAGCTTTCTAACTAGCATTAGCTTTTGCAAAGGTCAAGTGATGGCCTAGGCAGGTACACATTTTACCAGGTGAGTGGAGAACATCCCAGGAAGTGGAGAATATCTGCTAGGAAGATTGCTAAGGTTTTCTTAATGAGCCCCACGCCTGCTGGGACTCTGGGGCAGGGACCCTGGGGTGGGGACCCTGGGGTGGGGATCCTGGAGTGGGGACTGCCTCCCAGAATGGGACCAGATGCCCGGTGTCTGCTGTGCGTTAGCTCTGCACGGAAGCATGTGGACAGCACTAAAACTCACTTCTTTCCCCAACCTAACTACTCTTTACTCTTGCCAAGCCCAAGTGGCTAGGCACATAAAATAGCCCTTTTGAGGCAGAAGCAAGATCAAAATACTTGATCACCTAAGTCTTGAGAACAACGTGTGGCTCTCTGGGGATAAGTCCATGACCACGGCCAGCAACCTGGCTGGAACATGTACTGGACCACACAGCAGGTGGGTGACATCTAGAAGCACAAAGAGGGAGCCTCAAACATGACCTGTTCTCTTTACCTGTGGGAGCCAGTATTTTGGAAAAGGCCCTTCATCCCCCTCCTTGGAACAAGAGAATTCGTCAGAGGATTCCAGGGACTTCCTGGGAAACACTGGAGGGCTAGGCCAGGGGCACGGGGCTTGTTGCTCACTCAAAACCCTAGGGCTGCACGGTCCACTCCAAAGTCCACTCCAAGGTCAACTCCAAGTCGACAGCACAACCTGAAGTGCATGAGGTCAATGCCTGGCAGGTGGGTTTCCCTTGGAATCTGACACAACACACTAAACAGCCTGCTTGCTTTGTCCTGATCCATCAGTTTTTAACATTTGTCATCTCATGGCACACATAAACTAATTATTAAAATTCTGCAGCACACCAAAAAATAAAAATATAGGGAGAATTTTGATTCATTCACACTGGACCGCTATTGCTGTGCTGACTGTTGTCACTGTTTTATTGACAATCTAAGGGAAAGAGGTGAGTGCTCAGCCGGGTACTGCAAGTTTTAAAAGTTTGTGTGGCACATCGGTTGAAAATTGCTGCCCTACTCCTTGGCTCTGTGGCTTCTTACCACCTTGCACTCTTTTTTTAAAAAAATTTATTTTTGTTGTTGAGAGTATTACAGATGTCCCCTATTTTCTCCCTATTGCCCCCTTCACCTGGCTCCCGCCCCACCCCAGGCCTTGTACTCTTACCTCACCAACTCAACTCTGCCCACCCGTGAGCCTGCCTCCCCACCAGGAAGCCCCCAGCTTTGGGTTTCCTACTCTGTCTGCCCAGCTAAGCCCTTCCTGCTGGTGGCGGCCGGGTGACCTCCCCTTGTGGTCCTGGGACCACATCCCTCCAACTGTGCTCTCTCTCAGGAGGCCCCATCTCTCCGTCAGGGTCTGAATAGGAAAGAAGTCCCCAGGGTCAGGCCTCTGGATTTGCTTTAACCTTTCCTCCTACGTCTACCAAGAAGGGTTTTTGTTCAGCTCACTGCCTGTATCTGAATGACAAACAGGCTGTGACCCAGGCTGCCCTGGCACAGATGCTGAAGTTCTCCTAGAAGGTGTGGCCCTCACTTCGGAGTCCCTGTTACAAAGCTCCTCCCAGGAGACACTTTCCTATGAGACTGATGGGCCAGGTTTCCCACTCCTCCGTCCATGTGGCCATCTCCTCAAAGAATCTTCCCCCTGCAGCCTCTCACAGGGTCCCTGAACCCGGGAGGGAGGGCCCTCACCTCACCACGTGCCTGTGCAGGCCGCCTCGAGGGGGCTGGATGTTAACAATGAAGGGAAGATGAGGATAAGCCAGGGAGTGCTCTAGGCAGAGCTTTGCATGTAACTTGGTGAACTGATTGTCCCTCGCTCTCCAGGCACAAAGCAGCATCAAGCCCCTCCCGCTGACTTTGGTGACCCAGTGGCAGAGCTCCGCCAAGCACAGAGACTGCTATCGCTGTGACAAACTTTCTCAATTGCAACCTGAGGTTGTCTTATGCTATGAAAATACCTTACTAAGTAAAACTACAAAGCAGCACAATGTCTAGCGGAAATCACTCATTTTAAAACTCTGGTTGATCAGTACTGATTATAAATTTTCCCTTATACCTCCAGTCTGTTAACAGGCCACTGAACTCCCCCCGCACCCCAGGTTTGGTATCAGCAGTTTACTGGGCAGAGTAGTGTGCAACGAGCCATTGATGCCATGGCCTGCTACAGGTATGCGCTCACACACTCACACACACACAAATTCACACACACACACACTCACTCAAACACATACACTCACATACACAAATACACACACACACGCACACACAAATTCACACACACACACACACACACTCGCTCAAACACATACACTCACATACACAAATACACACACACGCACACATACACTGACACAAGCACACACACACTGATACACACTCACACACATGCCATGGGCAAGTGGGCCTTCTCAGCCTAGAACAAACAAGCTTTTGGAAACCTCAGAGCATAATCACCAGTGAGGGGAGGGGAGACGTGGCGTGGGGATCTGGGAAATGCTCCATAGATATGATCCGTGTTGCATTTCTCAAGGACTTCTGATGTTGTTATTTTGCAAACTTCCATCAGTCCAGACAAATATTATTCAAAGAAGGTGAGAGGGAAGCAAACCAAAATTTCCAAAGGAAATTAAGATGAATTTGGAAAAGGAGGGAACGTTTGTATGTGGAGGTGTGGACAAGTCACAGGAAAGAACACCTGGCCATGCATAAGGTGCCAAATCTGACCCCACTTCACTCGCCCCCACTGGTCACTTACTAGTGTCCTTTCTTTTGGGTCCACAAAGAGCTGACAAAGATTGCATAGAAATTAATTCAAATTAAAGAAAGGAACAGTTTTGAATTAGAATTCCATGTAAGTAAGGAGTACGTAAAATCATTTCATAATCCAAGAATAAATGAGTCTTGCCAGGTACCTTCCATACAGATGAACCAATAACTGGGTCGCTGAGCTTGTCATCCTCTGACTGACAATTTGGGGCTTTGCTAGGAAAGAATCTGAGGGTCAAACATCCTACAGCTCAGCCAGGGTTGCAGCTCTGCCCAGGGTTTTAGAACAAGGGAACATGGTGGTGGTCACAGTCACAGTACTACAGCCTGTGACCACCTGACACGTCTACAGCCTGGTACCACTTGCCCAAGCATGGCACACCTAGGGATTCTTTCCTCCTCACAGCACCCTGTGACACAGGACTATCATGTCTTCACTTTATGGCGGAGGAAACGGAGGCATCTAGTGGTTAAGGAACTTGTTCGATGAGCTGGTGGAGAGAAGGGATTTGACTCCAGACCTGGGTATGCTCTTTGATGTTGTCCTATCTGTCTATCTGTTATTTTATAGACACTGAGGGATGTGAGATGGATCCACTCCCTCCCAAAGGAGACACAATATGCTGAACTGCCCAACACAGTTTAACATATTTCATGTCTTGTTTTGTCTTAAAGTTAAAAGTTTCTAAATTAAATAAACAATAAAATGGTATGGCTCTGAGAGGTCTGCAGCGGGTAGAAGTTTCCATAAAAGGTGAAGAAGATGCTGTAGACCAAGAACACACAAAACCAACGTCTTTTTCCTAGAAATCTAAAAGTAAAATCAGGGCCGAATTCTTTCTGATGGGTGATGTGAAAGTGCTCCAGTAACGAAGCAAGTCTCCCGCAGACAACCTGATAATGCTGTTCTAGAAACAGAAAACTAGGTTCAAAACAACCTCCATCCCACCAATTCCCAATGCTCTCCTCCCTTCTTCTTCTTCGAATTGTTTTTATGAGGTTTTGTTTTTGCAGATTTATTGTCCCATATGTATACAGATGCCCTAATCAGATTTTAATGTTTGCAGGTGATAACCCAGTTAGCGGCCAGAACAATTCAGCATAATTCACTGACACAAGACTAACAGGAAGTGGGTGTTTCTCTGGGGTGATTCAGCAACAGCCTCTGTGAAATGGTTTCAGCAACTCACCTTAGGCTTAAACGCAATGACCTTCAAAACCATCTCGACAGTGAACACCCCAGTGAAGACCATGTTCAGGATGTCCATGGCGTCATTAAACATCTTGGACTGCTCATAGTGCTGTGGATGGAGACGGAAGAACAGCTCTCAGAGGCCCCTTCCAGGCTCACAGGAGGAGGCCCCCAGCCCTTCCTCCCTGCAGGCGACGGCCCTCTGGGGACACAGGCACCCTCTCCCAGTGACTCCACTGGCACTGTCAGGTCACAAGCCCTCCCCACAAAGTGCAGGGGCCTCAGCAAGGTGAGGATGACTGGATGCTGAAGGGGAAAGACATCAATTGCCTCTGCTCAGGATAAAAGGAGCCCGTCCCTCCTTCTGGCAGAGATCACACTCAGCGCCATGACCCAGGCACAATGCAGAACCCGCCCAAATGTCCATGAATAAAGGTAGGATTTGCTTAGGCATAAATTTTATGCCATTTAGTCCCATGTTCAATAAAAGGCAGCATTATCTTGACTTCCCCCTTCCCCCTACATCAGCACATGGTCCTTCTCATGCATAACGGTTTCTCACGTTAAAGGAAAGCATTACGAAATCTGTCACGGGCTGTCTTTAGACCCATTTTCCAGACAGCTCTGGGAGTTGGCTTGCTCACGCTCTTCAAGTCAGTGTGAAAACTGAATCTAGACCTTGGTTTTTGCTTCTTGTCCTAATGCAACTAGACAATAAACTACTGGAAAGGTTAACTAGTAAGTCTAGTAATTATAGTGTTTATATTAAATATATAGAATTGTATTAAAAGTTAATACACTGTAATCCAGTGTGGTCCACTGAGGTGAGTTGTACTCCTCACCCCCAATGTGAGCAGAGAATAGTTGTGATGCAGATCAAACTCACTACTCCATGAATGGAAGGTTCCCCACCGCACACTGACAGCTCCCTGAGGACAGGAAAATGTGACTTGTATGTTGTTTTCCAACACTGGGTGACAGGCCCAGAGCAAAGTGCCTGGCACAAATTATCCAACAAAAACTTTATATCCGAGGCAGGCATGATGGCCTTCCCATTTTAGCAATAAAGAAAGCAGCCTCGGGATGTAAATAAGTTTCCCAAGGTTGCCCCCTCTCCCCTCCCACCCTGGTGAGGAGTCCAGTCAGGATTGGAACCCGTCTGTCCAACTCCACATACACAGAGCGGCAGTCCTCAGCCACTACCTGGCCCCAGGAGCCCAAGTAAAGGTTACAGAATTGAATGCTCCGGCTCCATGGAAATGTTACCTATGGCCACGCTGTACGGATAGTCTCTTAAACTCCCACGTGATGACAGTTAGACAAGACCGGACTCTGACCAAACTACAGCCCTGACTCATCAGAAATCAAACCCATCCTCTGGTGAGAGGCTGGCCTTCCACCCTCACATCCGGGGCACGGACTGTGCAGAAGGCCCAGACACGATCCCCATCTCCACGCGCCTCCATCTTTACCTGCATGGCCAAGCAGAGTGTGTTGAGCATGATGAGGACAAACATCATGTATTCGAAAGGCGAGGAGTTCACCACGTACCAGAACTTGTACTGGTAGGGGTTTTTGGGGATGTATCTCCGCACGGGGCGTGCTTTCAAGGCGTATTCAACACACTGACGCTGCAATGGGAGAAAAGAGCAACAAGGGGTCCTGAGGGAGGACGAAGCTCCCACCTGCTCTGAAAGAGCCGGCGCAGCACCTGCTGGGAGGGACCCAGGACCCAGGGGAAAACTACTCGGCAGCCCCCGTGGACACCACTCTGCATCAGGGACAAAGGGCCCCCAGCTCCATCCCCTCCTCTGGTTGTCACAGCACCTGGGGGCACCCAGATCCCCCAGACTGCTTCTATTTTACTTATTACAAAACTGAGCCAAGCCCTGGTTGGCATGGTTCAGTGGTTAGAGCACCCGCTTGGGAACTGAAGGGTCACGGGTTCGATTTAGGTCAAGGGCACATACCTGGGTTGCAGGTTCCCATCCCAGTTGGGGAGCTTGGGGAGGCAACCAATTGATGTGGCTCTCTCACATCCATGTTTCTTTCTCTCTCTCTCTCTCTCTCTCTCTCTCTCTCTCTCTCTCTCCCCCCCCCCCCTTCTCTTCTTCTCCCCCTCCCTTCCACTCTCTCTAAAATCAATGGAAAAAATATCCTCTAGTGAGAATTAACCAAAACAAACAACCCACAACTGAGCCCAGAGCTGCTAATGGCCCGCCCGAGGTTGCACGGTGCACAAGCAGAGACATGGGCCTTGCCCAGTTCTCGTTCCTGCCCTTGTCTACGCCAGCAAGTTGGACCTGCAGTTCTCCTGCCCACACTGTCCTCCAGGAGAGGAGACCAGGTCACGAGAGGCACAGACATCCCCAAGCCCCCGACAGGCTGGTTTATTGCCTGAGACTAGAGCCCCACAGCTGCTCCAGGATGGACCCATGCAACTCATCTCTCAGGACGGAGTGTGTTAACTGTGAGTGACTAATGGTGAGCTAGCTGTGTGTCCATCTGCAAGCATTTGAGGCTCAGGGGCTTGCTGTTCTCAGACCTCTGGGTCAGTAACGATGGTCTCCCCACTCACTCTGGGGCTGAGACTGGTCCACCCTTTGCAGTGAGCCCAGAAGGAGCCTCCAGCCCCGACAGCTCGGCATCAGGCCCTGCTGGCACCTTGGCCCAGACCTACTCCCATTCTTCTGCTTAGACTCAGTTCTGACTGACTTCAGACAGGCTCCCTCCTGTCTAGGCCCTGGCCCTGCTATGACCTCACGCAGTGACTCCAGGGGAGTCCCCCCACCCCCAATCTGAGTCTGCTCTGGATCTCGGTGGTGACATAATTTCGGCTCTGGTGCTGCCCAGCTGGGGGTGAGGAGCGGAGCCAGGCCTCCCCCTGACTGTCAATGGTGGAATCTGCAGCGATGTCCTGACAACTCAAAGCAACAGCTTCCTAGGAACCAAGCCAGCACTGTCCTCACGTGTCCCCCAGTGGGCATGGCTGCAGCCGAGACAGCAGACTGCCTCACCACAGCCACTTCCCCCAGGAAGCCCAGGCTGGCAGACTATTCTTGCTCACTCTGTCATCATCAAACCAAGATGCCAATGATAGAGGGCCCGGGGAAACTCCCAGAGCAGCATCTCCAGCTCACAATCTTTTACGGCTGAAAGGGGCCTCTACAGGCAGCTCCTGAATGCCCTCAATTTAGACATAAGAGACCAGACCCAAAGGGGATCAGGGACACACCCACAGTCCCTGAGCAGGTGCAGGGAGACCAGGACCAGGATGCAGGCTACTTGGCTCCCTCGCACCATCACACAATCAGAGCCAAGGCCCCTGCTTCTATCGGGTTGGTTAAAACAAGGTGCTAGATAACGAGAGATTGATGCCAGGGCGATCTTAGTCCCAAGTTTAAAGTTAGCGCCTCTTCCTGTGGTGAGATAGCGCACTTCCTCCTAACCAACGGTTCTCAACCAGGAGACATTTGACAACATCTGGAGATGTTTGGGGTTGTTACCAAAAACAGGGGTTGGGGCGTGCTACTGGAATCTAGCAAGTAGAGGCCAGGGATGCTGCTAAACACGCTACAAAGCATAGCAATAACTCTCGGCCTGAAATGCCAACAGTGCTGAGGTTGAGGAGATAAAAGACTGTCGTTAGGAGCTCTGAGAGCATCACTGGTGCCTTCTGGCCCCTGGACACACAACAGATGAGACTGAGAGCTGTCACTGGTGGGTCCACCACAGAGGTGGCCCAGGTCTGGGGGTGGATCCCACAATAACAAGTCAAGTCTGAATCTGACAACCTCACTTTCAACAGCAATGACTCAGACTGGCCATGCGTGTGCTCTGAGCAGGGCCCAAAGCCCAGGGACACACACAGGCAGCACCTTCCGCTGTGCATGGGGAAACCATCCACAGAGAAGTATCCCTCTCCTGCTCGAGGGATGGAAGCCCAAACAGTGTGTGACTTTAACCTGATTTTTGTCCAGCTCACAGTTCTTATACTCTTTTTCTCCCTGCTCCTGGAACGTGACAATGACGAAACCCACGAAGATGTTCATCATGAAGAAAGCGACGATGATGATGTAGATGATGAAGAAGATGGAGATCTCTACTCGGTAGTTGTAGATCGGGCCCACGTTCTCTCCGTTCGAGTCGATGGCTTTGTACAGCAACCTGGAGAGCAGAAGCACCCAATGAGCACGACAGCCCCACCCAGGCTGGGAGCCCCACCCCACTGCCTTCCCAGGGCGTCCCTCTTCTGCATGTCCCCATGGCACTGACGGTCAGACCCCGCACGGGAGCCCCCTCCCCGAGGCCCCTACACACAGGCGGGTCTCTGAGGCACCCTGGTTAGCGTGAGGCCCAGTCAGCCCAGCACTTAGGTGGGGGCAGCTGGGATATATTTGTGATTGATGCTTGGAGGAATGAAAAACAAAAGATTTCACAAGTATTCAGTCACAGTCCTTCCTATTCCCAGGTAGAAGAGGAGGAACGTCTCACGTAGGCACTGGCTGAACTGAAAACTGCACACTGACAAAGACAGTAGCAAGCAACCATGGATTTCCAAAGAACTCAGAGAGCTTCCCCAAACTGAAACACAAACTGAATTAAATACAGGCCAGGCAGAACTCAACAGGAAGAGGGGACATTACTATAAGGCCCCAAGTTAAATTCAGCCCCATTCTGATGCAGTCACCACTTCCAGGGCACCCACCCCTGGGTGCACTGTGCTACACAACTTCACATCCATCTGCAAAGGCGACATCACTGTCACCCCATCGTATGGGAGCTCAGTGTCCAGGGTCACACTCCTCGGGGGCAGACCCGGCATTGAGCCCAGTTCCTCTGAGCCCCAAGTCCTAACCTTGTCCATTTCCCCTCAGCTACCCCCATGATCTGCTAAAGCACAATGGTCGAAACCTGAGACTCAAAACCTCCGTAGAGTAAAAGATCTTACTCCGCGCCTCTTCTCTCCTCAGCACCAGTTCCCTAATGAACAGCCCCACCCAGCCGTCCTTTCCCTGCAGGCTCTCCTGCAGAGCTCCCTGGCTCTCCCGTGCATCCAGAGGGTCTGCCAGCCTGAGAAGACTAGCCTGTCCACCTTCTGCAGTCCCTCTAGGCCTGGGAACTTGACATTCAGGAATCCATCTAGGTACATATGCTCTGGTGGCAGGAGCTAGAGGTGGGGTGGGGCAGCAGAGAGCAGAGAGTAGCAAGGGTACAAGAGACCCTCCTTTGGTATTCCACCTCCTTCCTTCTTCCTGCTTTTCTTACTCTGCCCATCAATACCCTACCCATTCTTTAGGACCCTATTCTGCACATCTGTGACATACCAGACCCTCCTGCCTGGTTTGATCACCTGACACATTAACTGAATTTGGGCTTTGAAGGGAGGAACCATGTCGAGATAACTGTTTTTTCCCACGGTGGCCTAGCAGAACATGTCACCTGGAGCTGGTACCAAAAGCACATTTGATGAATGAGCAGGTGAGTGCCTCAGTGAAAGACATGGCACAATGGCAGCCATCCACGCCTGGCACATATTAGTACTAGGGATGGATGGATGGATAGATGGATGGATGGATGGATGGATGGATGGATGGGTGGATGGGTGGATGAATGACTTAGTGACCCTATTTAGCTTTACTGACATGGCTACCAATGGGAGTTGGCATGACAAACAAATGCCTTTGAGGGCTCCCCATTTCCATCCAGAGCTGCTCCCCAGGAGCCAGCTGAGAAGAGCCCCTGCCTAGGAGCTATGCCCTCCTCTCCTGGTTCCCCAAATCCGAGAGTCCTGAAGGCTGGCCACAAAGCTTAATCCTTTGTCTAATCAGACAGAGGGGCCCTGTGGGCCAAGAAGTGATTGATAAGTGGCCCAAAGTTTAAAAATCATAGGGAAAGCCTGAAACTGCCGAGAAAAGCAGGACTCACTCAGGAGAGAAGGATCAGCTGGAGTGCCCTGAGGCAGGAGGCGCCTCCCTGCGGAGTCCCTCTGTACTTACTCAGGCCAGCCCTCGAACGTGGAGACCGTGAACAGCGCCATCATAGCAGAAAGGACATTGTCAAAATTGAAATCGCTATTTTGCCAGAGCCTCTCATGGACCACAGGGTTATCAATCTCCCCATCCTTGTAGAGGATGAAAAGCCCCCTAGAGAGGAAAAGAAATGTGGGTCATCTTGGCGTGACGAGAAATCGGTACAGCTGCCCCATCCCCACACTGCAGGCACCGACACGCTTGGTCCGCCAGCCAGGCCACTGACCTGAGCATGGCACCGCCTGTGTTTCTCCTTCTCCTGCCCTGTATTCAATCTCCTCTCCAGTTCACATAACTGTCGAGTAACTACTAGCTTAATGAGTATTCTCCAGAGCAACTAGGCAGCCACCGGCATATGCCGGATAACGAATGAAAACTACCAAACAATAAGCATTTCTCATATGCACTGGGCTCAGCATGTACACGGAAGAACCAAAAGCTTCGGCCTTGGAGAATTCCATAAGCTCTGGAAGCCAGCCCAGGCATCCTCTTAATCTGCATTTTAGCTTTAATTGAATTCCTTCTCTTTATACCAACAATATCCCCAGTTCCCCAGCCCCCTCCAAGATTCTCTAATTTCTGGCACACGATATTTCTCACAGAATTTCATTTCTGGAAGGAGTCAATGTCTTTGTTTTACAGATGAGGAAGCGAGGCTTGGAGGGGGAAAGGAAGGTGACTTCACACTGTTGCTGAGCTGCTCAACTCCAGGGGCGCCCTCCACCCCCAGCCCATAGGCCTGGTGCCCCTGGAGGGGCAGAGCCAGCGCATTACATTGGTGCTGACTGCACCTTCTGCTAAAAAGAAACCCCAAACCAGTGGAGGCAGCTGGACCTCCCTTGGGGACATCATCAAAGGATGGGGACACAGGGACTTCTGCCCAGTCTTAGACTTTAGGCCCTGGTTTCCATGTCTGCCTTCACATTCTTTTGCATGGCTTGGGATAAGAGGCATGAGTGTTTCCCACCTCATCTCGCCTCTGCCTGTTCTTGTGAATGGAAATACGGCCAAAATGCGGGTGGCAGGAAACCTATCAGAAGATGGCAGCCAGCATCCGAATTCCAGGGAGTTGAGCTATGAGTTCTGGTTTGCGGAAAAATTATCCATTTGGTTCTAGGGCAAGTATGTCAAACTCACGGCCCTCGGGCTGCATGCCTCATTTATTTGGCCTGTGTTAGCCTTTGAGTTTGACGTGCTTTCTGTAGGGTGAGCTTTCCGGGGCATTTCAATTGTTATTTTATGGTTTAGTCCCCTCCCCTCTCGTTTGTAGAGTCTATACCAAACATCAAAGGCCATCTCTCCATTGTTTTGAGGTGATGAAAAGCTTTGTAACTAGATAGAGGTGGTGCTTACACCGCAAAGAGATTGTGCTAAATGCCACTGAACTGTATGATTTAAAATGGCTAACTTCATGTGATGTGAATTTCACCTCAAACCAAAAGAACAAACAAACAAAAAAACCCCAGAAACCCCCCATCGCTGCAGCCGTGGGCTGAGCACACGGGCCTCATGGAGCCCACGCCTTTTGAAATGCCAGCACAGGCGAATCCTGCAAGTCTTCCATTTGTCCTTCCCAATTTCCCACTCCTTTGCGTGGAACATTCACCTGCATTCCTCAGGGTTACTTTTGGCTTCATCTGTGCAGCGATAGAACTTTCCCTGAGTACAAAACAGACACAGAGAGTCAAACGCAAGCTTGCCCCTGAAGAGATCATCCGGGCCTCGTGCCCCAAGGCACATCCTGTACCTTGAACAACTGGACCCCGATGCAGGCAAACATGAACTGCAGAAGGGTGGTGACGATCATGATGTTGCCGATTGTCCGGATGGCCACAAAGACGCACTGGACGACGTGCTGGGGGGAGAGAGCAGGGAGAGGATGAAGGGGAGACTAATACCAGCCAAGATTGTTTATGTGTCTGTGCATCTGCATATGATTTCCTGACTTTGTGGGGCTCTGTTAAGTGTGGGGAGTTAGCCCTAGTGCATCATGGCTGCCTGGGAAGAGTACCTTGTAATGGGTCCCACCTTGGTTTCCTACCACGGGGTGGGTGGGGGGGTGGCACTGCCTGGCACACAGGCCCACAGGACTTCCCGCCCCATAAAAAACTTAGGAAAACATAAACCCTCTTTTGTACAACCTGCATGAGAATAGATTTAAAGACCAAAGTAAATACCATTAATAATATAAAAGTAATAAATGCTAAGTAATTACATAAAGAAAATATTTTAAATAAATGAAAATAAAGGCAATCATAACACTTAAAAATGGTATCAGGTTTGAAAGAGGACACTCCACTGGGTAGAAATGTCCTTTTCAAAGGTGAACCCACTTTAAAATCCATCAGGCCTCAGCCCAGCGCGAGCCGAGCAAAGTCACTAATGACAGCTAACCCCGCCGAAGCCAGCCCAGCCTGCGGGAGAGAGGCCCAAACCTTAAGTCCTTTTGCTCTGTTGATGGCCCTGAGCGGCCTCAGGACCCTTAAGACTCTGAGAATCTTCACCACCGAGATGGCACTGGATCTAAGGGGAGAAACGGGGAGGAGAGAAAGCAGAGGGCATTAGGGTTGGATGAAACACGGAGACTGTCACACTTGGCTCTCATTTTACTACCACAACACAGCATGGTGGGTCCCGTGTGGAGCTGAGCTAACCTCTCCCTGAGACTCACAGGTCAGCATGGCTACAACCCATGGACCCTCCTTGGCCAGGCCCACGCACAGCGGCCCTGCTCAGCTACACAGCTGGCCTCGGCAGACACAGGACTGACGAAATCTGCTTTGTTCTTTTCAGGGGGTATAAACGCTAGGTAGTACTTGGCTTTCAGGCTTCAGTTTTGCTTATTTGGTCTTGTTTTCTACCTTTGGAACCCTGCCTTGATGCTGGGTTTTGCTGGCCTTCAAGGAGTCCACTACTTGATGAGTGAGATAGGCAATCGCAACCCCATGGGGCAGGTGTGACAGGGGATACCATGAGGGGAGTGTCACCTTGGGGAGCTTGGGAAGGCCCCTAGGGAGGTGATATCCAGGTGAGTCTAGGGGGAGTGAGGGTTAGCTAGACAGAGGGGGAAGGGGCTGCAGGCCGAGGGAGGGCCAGGTGGGCAGGTCCTGTATGAGAGAGTGCAGCTCACTTAGCAGGGCAGGTGGCTGGGTGTGGCCCGAGCACCTGCTCGGGAGGCAGTGGGCAAGGGCTGCAGCTGGAGAGGGAAGGCACAGCCAGGAGTTTATAAAAGTTGCCAAGATACTGGTTCGTATGTCCTTCCAAGATAATGGCTACATGGCTCCCTGGCCCTGGGTGGTGGTGGGAGGTGAGAGGGACTACTCCCCGAGAGCAGTGGTCGCCAGCCTTTCGGACCTCACGGACCACCATGGTCCGTAGACCACCGGTTGGCGACCGCTGCCCTAGAGGGCCGTTTCCGGCGGGGGTCCTTCATCTTCTGAGGGGACAGAGCCTCTCCATTCACCTTTAGCCCAGAGCTGGGCAGGCATGCTCCCATGTAGGAAACACTGAGCAGTGGTGCTTAGAAGTCCGCAGGAAAGCAAGGCCACCCCTGGGTGCTCCCACTGTAGCTCCCGGGTGTGGCGGGCAAGCAGGGTGCAGCTTGGGCTATTTCCCACCAGAAACCTCTAAATGCCGTGACGAGGACCTGGGGCCCTGACTTGCAGTCTCAGGCCCCTCCTAGCTGAAAATTTTAGAGGGCAAAGGAAAAGGGTCATATGTCCTGGAGATCAAGGGAAACTTCACTACCCAAAGTAGAAAGGGCTCCAAGAAGCCACCTGGTCCATGTCCCTCCCATACAGATGGGGAAGCAAGAGGATGCCCTCAAGGTCCTGGGGCCGGCCCTGGAGGAACCTGGATAAAACGCTTTGAACTAGAACCTGGCTTCTTTCACTCTCCACTGAAAGCAGATATCACAGAGAACAGTAAGTCCAAGCTAGCAATGGGCACGGAAAGGACAAGAGAAACACAAGAAAGCAGGGACTGCCCAGAGCTTTCTGGCCTAGGTACCCATCAAGCTTTGCCAGGTACCTAAGTGTGTTTATTAAAATGATGCCCAGCCTTTACGAATCATGTTAAAATTCCTCATGTAAACCATCCTGCCCAGCAGTCCTGGTGTCTACGCACCCACACCCCGGAATACTTACTGGATCCCAAAGGACACCAGAGACACCCCGACGACCAGCATGTCCAGCAAGTTGAAGTAGTTCCGGCAGAAGGCCCCTTTGTGGAGGAAAGCTCCAAAGGTCGTCATCTACGGGCAGAATCTGGGTGAGCTGACTGGTTTTTCTCCCCAGAGGAAGAGAAACCTGGGCTCTTTACAACACCTGGAGGACAGTCTATCTTTACTAACAAGCGTGCATTATGAAGCCAGAAATCTAAGCCAACAGGGCTGAGCACCTGCATAATTTGTTCAAAAATGAAAAAAGGGAAGCTCACTTTGGGGACATAATAAAAGAAGAGAACAATTTAGACTTTATTACAGCAACAACAAATTTCAAACATGAACAACATTGGCATGTCCAGAGAGCCTGTCTCAGGAGAGAGTCCACGTGACCATTCTTGCTGCCCAGACAACTTGGCTTCCCCACACAATGATGCCTCAGGCCCTGAGTCCCTGGGAGAGCCTATACTGTTCCAACCCAGAGGCTGGACAAAGCGCTGGGGCCTGGCCGGTGTGGCTCAGTGGCTGAACTTCTACCCATGAACCAAGAGGTCACTGGTTTAATTCCCGGTCAGGGCACATGCCTGGGTTGCAGGCTTGTGCAGGAGACAGCTGATTGATGTTTCTCTCTCAGCAACGTTCCTCTCTCTCTCACCCTCTAAAATCAATAAAAATATTTTTTTAAACGTGCTGGGGCCCAGCACTCACCGGCTCTGTCTACACAGAAACCAGTACTTTGCCAGGGAGGCCCCTTCCTGCTCCTACCGGTCCTTAGTGGTACATCCACTGTACCCAGCTCTTCCCACTCAGTTCTCTAGGTGGAGAGGGTGTGGCTAGGAAGCATCATCCTCGTCTCACCTAAGTCATCCCACTGCTCTCCAGTCACAGGCCGCGAGCACCTGGAGCCCACAGCGTGGGTGCTCCCGTGAGGCTCTTACTGGCGATGGGAAAGGAGTTGGGTGAGGAAGCTCCCCAGAATGGAAACAGCAAAACACAAAGAATTCAGTGTTTATATAAAAAATAAATAAAAAGTAAAAGAGTGGGGAAGACTCAGGTAAGTGTCAGAGAGGAGAGACAGAGTTGGGAACCAATAAAATTGGACCATATGAAATTGCCAACACTCCACCTTTTCTGACTTACAAAAATGGTAATTTCATGTGTTAAACCAAATAACCAAAAAGCCTTCCAAATTTTCACAAGGCCACCAGGAACCACCGTTTCATATGTCGGATGCTTCTTGGCAAATCTCCGTTTTCTGAATCCTTGTCTTAGCTTATTTTCCGCTCTCTAAAATACTTTCAAAATCATGAATGATGTGGAAGGTTTGTGTGACTGAGGTAAATATACAGAAATTGAAAAGCAATATATTTTTTTCCTTTTAAATAAACCTGTATTTCATTTGCCCCAAAGCCGGAAAGTAACTACTTCATGTAACAACTAAGACATGTGGAAAATAAAACAAAACCTCAATTAACCAGGCTAACAGACTAAGTAGAACATTTCCCCATTTGGTTTAAGGAAAAGAAGGGAAATTTCTTTTTAAAAAGCAGCTGGGATCAAGCAGAGGTTGGGTGAGTGCCCTTCACCCCATGCCCACCCACTGCCTTCCGCCTCTGTGCTCCTTACCGTGGAGACCGCTATTAGAATCTGCTCACGGACCCGGGCACGGGTCTGACTTAGTACTGACAACCAAATTCACTGGCTTCAAGGCAAGAAAATGAACTAAAATGTTTAGATTTTTAACTAATGTTTACACAGAGATTGGTTGTTTAGTTGGTGTTGCACTATTTTCATTGCCAAGTAATAATAATAATAATAATAGAAAGAAAATAAACACCCTATTCCTGAGCCATGCTAATTGAGGTTTCATTTTACAGAAGATTTTGTAAAGAGCCCAAGTTCCATAGTAGTCTAACATAAAATACATTTTTTCCTCCTGAGATGAACCCACAAAAAAACCTCAAAATGGTTTAAAGAAAAACTGTGGTTAAAATTCCTCATTTCCCAGCTCATCGCCCCATGAGGAGATGATTTGCTCTGACAGTTGTCACAGGCCACGTTATCCAGGACTGCTAGGACCCGCACCACTTCGCGAGTCGGGGCAGGGGGTGCTGGGCTCTCTGCGGTCGGTCTCCAGGCCGCTGGGTGCGCAGGAATGAGCTCCCCAGGCGGCTCTCACTCTCAGTACACGAACCGCATGCAGCAATGGCACCTGTTAGCTCATGCATGGGCAGTACATTTAGGGCACCCTGGCCAAAAGGTGCTCCTTTTGTCTGTGTAAATGTAAGCCCATCCATTAAAACAGATAGAAAATATCTTAACACAAACAGATTCAAGTTATCTTGCAAATCCTGTTGCAAGAAAATAGTGCTGTTACTATTTTTAGGCCACTGGATCGTAATTCAGTCAAAGAAACGAGAAGAGATCCATGCCCTTCATGGGATAAATGCATTTCCTCCGACTCTGATGCCGGGAAGGGTGGGAGAAAGTTCACACATGGTGAGGTGTCTGTGATCAGTTGACACAGTTCAGAGGATATAAAAAAAGAACAAAGCATCATTTCCAATCACTATCATGAAGCCACAGTAAGTCCTACATGCATCAAGGATTAAAAGGAAAGAGCAAAAACAGGTTGAAGTTTCAGGAAAAAAAAATCCTCTGATTAAAAAAATAAAAAGTATACACTTGATCACAGACAAAAAAACAAAAAACAAAAACACAAAAATAGTCCAAAGCACTTTACGCTGCTTTGCGGTGTGTCACACGCAGGAGCAGGCCCCTTACACACACCCTGCGGAACCTGTTACCTTCAAAACAATCTCAAACGCAAAAGTAGCTGTGAAGACATAGTCTGCATAACCTAGCATCTGGAAAGCAAGCAGAGAAGTGAAACTATTATTGCTACAGCTGCACTAGAATATGTGAGGATCAATGAAAACGCCATTACCTTTAACAGGATTTCAACAGTAAAGATGGCTGTGAAAGCATAGTCAAAGTAACCCAGTATCTGAAAGGCATAACAACGAAATGAGAGAAAGGCACCCGGACAGGCCCCACAGCCATACGCCCACGGGTGGAATCCCACCTGCAGTGGGAGGCCCTCCCGGGACAAGCCTGTCTCTCTGGAGGTAAGTGCAGAGATGCTCACAAACGCCCCACCCGGGCCAGTTACTGCTCCTCTGGATGATGGACCAAGAGCACTTGGAACTACTTACCTCCTCAGCCGCTCGTGCCCACCCTCCCCAGTCTCACGTCTCAGACAGAGACTCGTTTCTAAATGTGCTTTATTAATAACCCTTTCTCATCGGAGCACCACGTTGACAAATTACTCGTGGCACCAGATAAATTAGAGCCTCACACACATCTTGAATTTTTAACTGCATCCATGGCTGAATGAAATACGTTGCCATCCAGCTGAGCTTTAGATTGGTGGGGAAATGTAAATAATGATGCAAGGGGCATCAAAAGGGGCTGGAAGCTTCCTCGAGTCCCCTCCAATGCCAGCCCATTTCCTCAGTGAGTTAAGAACACCCCCCCCCGCACCCCGATGTGTGGAGCTGGGTAAGCCCTCAGGGAAGTTTCACTCACCACCTCGCTCACTCTGCATCGAGCCCTCTGTCTCCCAACACTGCTTTTTAACCTCGCCGGGCCCACCCGAAGAACAGGTGACCCGGTTAACGAATCATCAGTCCAGGCTACTTTGTCAGTATTCCTGAGAATACCGTCTATTCTCCAACCGGCTTGCCCCTCTGGGGTCTCTGCCTTTCTCAGAACCGTGGGGGAGGAGAGAGGGGCAGGTGGGCTGCAGCAAGAGGTCTGACTGCCACTGAAGGAAGGCTGCTCGCGGGGACCTCAGCCACCAGGAGACAGTGGAGACCACCAGGAGAAGCAGCCGTCTCAGCTACTTACTGTCACAACAACTGTGGTCTAAGGTTGAAAGAACTGAGCAGATCAGCGTTGGAAGGGAGTCTGGTAACAAGCCAGGTACTCCTTTCCTTTAACAGATGAGGATACTTGGGAGGGCACAGGGCTGCCTGCCCGGGCCACGAAGCCAGTCCTGGCATTGCGGAGCATTGAGCGAGGCCTGCGGAATGCTAGCCGAGAGCCACGGGCCCTGCTGCTGAAGTGTCCACCCCAAGGAGGCCTTTGCTCTCTGTTACAATAAGGTGAGGACCTCTGCCCCAAAGGCCAGCTCTCCTCAGCTCGAGGTTAAGTTCTCTTCTCAGAGGGCATTCATTATCCAAAGGGCATCCATTTTTGAATATATAAACTTTGCGTATCCGTGTTTCTGGCCCAGCCATGCAAAGCATTTCACCCACTACAGGCCTCTGCCCCTCCTCCTCCTTTCCCTCCACGGTCACAGCAGGACTTTACTGCTGACAGCACCTGGGCGGCCAAGAAAAGCACTGCTGCCCACGCCTGAGGGTCAGCGCTCTCAGATCCACTCGGCCTCCTTTCTCCTTTTCACTGATAACTCAGCGGAGTACAAAAGCAAAACAAAAAGTACTGTAGGATCGCAATTACATGAGATAAAGTCGTCAGATGCACAGACAGAAAGTGGAATGGAGGTGGTCGGGGGCTGGGGAGGGGACGTGGGGAGCTGTCCAATGGACATAGCTCCCGTCACACAATGCCCATCACTACAAATACCGTCTGTACACTCGAAATGTTGTTAAAAGGGTAGACCTCATGTTAAATGCTACCACTATAAAAAACAACTGTGCTTTAAAAAGCAATGCACATACACATATGTACATCTATTTAAAAACAGCATTCTTGGGGGAAGCAGCAGGGGAGTAAACTCATGGGCAAGTAATGGGCAAGTAATTACAATAAAAAATGAGACTATGAGGCCCCGATGTAAATTAATTCTCCGTCAATCTGTGTTCCAGGCTAGCTCCAGACCTAGTCTGCCGTGTGATGGTATTTTTCCCTTCGGTCTCATTTTTATCATGGAACTCAATGACACGGGTCTTTGTTCCATTTGCATGTAGAGATTAAGACAGGCTCGGGGCTGTTATCGTTACATCAGCACCAGCACGTGCCTTGGAGGAAAGTTCTTTATCTTCCTGTCAGAGTGTGTGTTTATCAGTCTGATAGGCTGGGTTTGCCAGGCTTCAAACCGAGAGGCTGGAAATGGAAAGACCGCACGAGGGTTGGTGGTCACAACCGAAATCCTGGGGCACTGATCTGGTGACTGGTCTTAATCCTCAAATCTCTAAACCTCATGAGCAGACACAGGTCCCACGCAGGCACGGCAGCGACGCCTGATGGCCTCATGCCGGCCGCCCTCGCCTGGGAGGGTTCTGAGTTACCATCTGAAACTGCGCTGCAGTATCAGGGCTGAGAGGCAGCAGGTCCTGGTTCCAAACCGTCTCATGTTGGGACGTTCAGCAGAACCCGCTGCCTGCTAAGCTGGAACTTCTTAGGCAAGAACTGTCTGGGCACCATGCTGTCCAGCATCCGCAGGGCAAGGTGCCACTCCTACGCTATGAAACTGGTTAATAGAAAACTTAACCCTCCACTAGTTTTCTTCATAAAACAGCCTCTGCCCCACCTTCCTCTCACAGAACCACTCAACTCCACACTGCATCACCTCCCTGACTTGAGTTTCTCCCAGTGACGGAGCCAGGTAGCTTTGTGACTGTCCATCCCTGTGGGGCCGAAGTCTTCCCCTCCAGCCCTCCGGAAGCTCCTGGGCATGCCTCACACTTCGTCTCAGTTTTACTTTCCCTCCTGCTGGGTCTTCCACTCGGCAGAAGCATCCAAACAGCATGGATGAGAACTGGGCCGTGGGAGGAAAGAGGGACCAGAATACTGGCGGCCAGGAATGAAGAGGAAGAGAAGCGGGGTCCCTGAATACACTACAAGTGATTTAAAATGAAGTTTAAAGTATACGATTCAGGAAAGCTTTGTCCTGATAAGGCAAAACCTGGCTGGTACTTACAAGTGGGAACCGTGAAGTGCCTGCAGGGGAACGTGATGCCTACTCTAGCTTTTAGCCCCTCGGGCCTCCCAGGCTCTGCGTGGGCAACAGGAGAGGCCAGGGACGACCCAGGACCCCCCCCCGCCTGTCCTCACCCGCTCGGTGGCTTACAGTGTTCCTGAAGGAGTGGCTGCGGATGGGGTCCTCAGCGGCCAGGGACGCGCTGCTCAGCATGATGAAGACAAGGATGAGGTTGGTGAAGACGTGGTGGTTGATGAGCTTGTGGCAGCCCACGCGGATGCTGTGGGGAGAGCCGGTGCATGGACCTCGCCCAGCCAGCCCCCCTGCCCCACATGCTGGCCCGGGTCAGGCAGGGGCGGCCGTCGCTGTGCCGCCCACACCCACCCAGCAGACCAGAACCACCTGACCGTCGCCCCTCGAAACCCCTGCACGGCAGACCCTGCGGGCCTGGGTGCGGCTCCGTGTGGGAGCTCACGGACACCATTCAGAGTCCTTCAACGTGGGGACTGCCACCTGCTGAAGGAGAAGAAACTGAGGCTTAAGCCCGTGAAAGAACTGTCTTAGGATTTCCATCCCGGGCTGACGGTGACGTTTCCTGCTACAACATGAAGCCTGGCGCTTACTTTCCCGACCGAGAAGGGAGACTGAGGTGGGAGCTCATCATCGCAGCAGCTCGCAACGAATGGGAGGAGCGATCCCTTTCTCATACTGCAGTGGGGCTGTGCTAACATAGGCTGCAGTGAGGGAGGCTTGGTAAATGCCCTGTTACGTGGAGATTCAGTCATAGGGCTGCATTATTATTATTAATATTATTATTATTATTATTATTTGGAGTTGACCCATAATGAGCACTCCTGAGAACGGAAGTGAGAGTTACATCAACACGCAAGAACCTCACGAGGATCTTAGTGTACCTGCCATAGGGCATCAGAGTCCCATGAAGCCGGGAGGGCAACATGTGCCGAGCGCCCCCGTCCGGCCCTCACCCCCACAAGGGCTCCGTGGCCATCGGAGCTCCCTACAGCCCCTGACGTCCGGGAGCTAGTCAGTGCCTGACTACCCTTCACCCCAACACTTGACTTTAGAATTTAAAGATTTTTTTTGGCCTATAGAATACATGTAGGTTTTCCTTTGGAAAGATTTTTTTCACTTTTAAAACTGAAGTCAACTCTATAGGAAAAGTGACTCCTTGCTTCAGATCCTCCCTTTGGGGCTGGTTAAGGCTGAAATGTGCCCTGGACCATCAGTGCAAGCTGATAGCAACTGAGTCTGGGGAAGGCGGCCCAGGGCTGAGGGCAGGCAATCAATTTGTCCTTCAATATAGGTAGACAGTGGGCTATGGGTGTCAGTAACGTCAGGGATGCCCAAACTCTCAACAGTGATGAGTGGAAAAGCTATCATCAAATCTGCAAGTCTCTCAGGACCACAGCCGGCCTTGCTTCCCCCGTGTCTCCCGGGGCCTAAGAACCACAGAGTTCTTCTCTGACAGCCAGGAACTGCTCCTGCGATTCTAGAACCTCCAGGAGCCATCTATTCCCTCTGGCATTTCCCTCGGTCCAGGATAACGGAAAACCCAGAACCCAGCCAGTAAAGAAGCACCTTCCTCTTCCCGTACCTGTGAGCAAGGGCCATGCTCCTGGTGAGCACCTTGTCGTGCTAACATGAGCAATGCCATGTTAAGCAGGATGTCATAGAGCTGAACCAACTAGCCCAACCTATAAGATACCACTGAGCAATATTATTTATTGCCAGAAAACTCAACAGGGAAAAGTGATCAGCTGGACTAGATCTCAGGATGAAGACGCTGGGCAGAAGTCAGTGACAAAATCTCCATCACCCGAGGCATCCTAACAGAAGACCCAGCGGTGAAGAAAGCGTCCTTTGGACGTCACAGGTGACCACCCAGGGAAGGCCAGAGCCGTGGGCTCCGAAGGAGAGGCAGCTATTTCACCACTGCGGAGCCCAGCTCAGGGGTGAAGGGGAGGAGAATCTGGATTAGGCTCCTCCCAGCCCGGGCCACACCCCTGCAGCCCCTACATCCAGGAAAGCAAGGCTAGGAAGGGATGAGCAGAGGACAAAGGCTGGGGCTGGGGAGGGGTTGGAGCCTGGGGGGTGGGCTCCCATGTTCAGGTGCAGAAAGGAGCCTCCCCGTCCCCAGCCACCCTCCCCATCATGCAACCTGGAGGGCTACAGGGATGTGACTGGAGAGGGGGCACTTACGGGTTGGTCTTGCTAAGAATGAAGAAAGCGCTCCCTTCCGGAATGGGGACGATTTTCTCTTTCATGTTCAGCTCCGAGATTCTGCGAGGACGGGGGCCAGCCGGGACCTCGGGTTCATCCTCCTCCTCCTCCTCCTCCTCTTCCTCTTCCCCTACTTTAAAGGAGACACTTTTATAGGCATGAAACAAAGGCTGAATTTGAGTTCTAATCATTCTCAATGTCACATGGAAATTTAGCTTAAACTTCAACAACACCTATCAGCTTACAAGAATCAAAACCCTTTAGACTATGGGCTGTGTGTGTGTCAGGGGTGAGGCGGGAACTGAGCAGCTTGCCTGCACGTGAGTGTGTGTAGTTGTGGGGCTGAGGTGCCCAGCAGTTGAAGATCTGAGCGCAGGTAAGAGGCGGCAACCATGTGATTCCCACGGCCATCCCCCAGCACAGCTGTGTCCCCAGTGACCTCCTTGCTCAGCTTCGGCCCAAAACACTGTGTGGACTTCAAGTCACACATGATCAGTTTCCCAAGCTCCTCTACCGCCACAGTCCCTCCTACATCAGCCAATAAAGGCACCGGTCAAATGGGAAAGTGTCAGGTGAGTTGTAATTATTGGTTGTCCCTAGAGAGATCTCCCAGCAAAGGCTGGGGTTATCCTGATCCACCTATACTTTCTCTCCCAGCACCTGGAATGTGGGTTATGTAAGCTGCCTGTGACCTAGAGAAAGCAGGGGACTGGACTCATGGCCTCGGCGACCCCGGCGGCCCAGTGTGCACCCAGCTGGGCTAGCAGCCGCAGAGGCAGCCGCTGATCATAGAGTGGTGGCCAAGCCCGCCACCATACCTGGCACATCGCAGGGTGGGTAGGGGTCCTTGTCCTCATCCTCTTCTTGGTACTCATCAATTATGACCTAGGATGACAGAGAGATCTTGGGAGGAGGGGAGATTCTGATTTAAATGCCACAGTGAGGACTCAACTCTGCCACTCAGAATGGGCCAGAAGAGTCCCTTCAGAGTGTGACGGGCGTGAGTGTGCAAGGGCAGCAGATGCCCAGGCAGTGACCCTGTGGAGACCGAGGTCTGAGGGCAGATGAGGCGACACCCTCCCAGCTGTGGTCACAGCGCCCAGCAGCATCACATACTGACAGTGAGCGCCATGCAGCTAGGGAACTTGTTGGTCTTGTTCAGTCTCAATCCTCAGTCTCTGACACATGGCAACTGTACAAAAAGTATTTACTGATTCAATGAACAGACAACCAAGTGAATGAAAAGCCCAGAGCTGTCATCCGTGGGACGGGGTTTCACAGAACAGGCCAGAGCCCACAGGCCCTCGCCCTGCGGTCTCCTCGGGCAGATACCCATTCACAGCCCTGGATTTCAATCCCCACTGAGAAGACACTCACAGGTCAGGTCTGATTGCACAAGCCCAATAAAGGAAAATAAGTGGTCAGACCAGTCAAACATCTAACACACTGGTTCTCTGGTAAATACTGGCTAATAACCAGTGAAGTGCCTAAATTCACTCAGAACCCCCGGAGGCCAGCCTCTACAAGAGTGTGCCATACTCACTGAAATATCACACAGCACACTCTCACGGTGGAAAGTGCACAGTTGTGGTGAATCATTTTGAAATAGAAAGCGGGGGAGCATTTCAGATCATGTACCTTGTTGTCACTGTTGGCTATCTGATTGACTTCCGGCTTGTGGTTCTTTTTATTTTCCAGGCTTTCTTTTCTACAGAGGAGAGGACAGAACCCAAGAAACCAAGTAACTATGTTGCTGCGAATAAAAACCCTCACCAGGGCTCTGCATCAGCAGTGGCCCAGGAAGGACAGCATCTCATTGGAAACCACCCTACCAGCCAGAACACAGCACAACCCACACTCAGAGCTTCCTGCTCACTCAGGGCACTGGATTCATTTCACGGGTCATCTTATTAGAATTCTCATCCAAAAGCTAATCAGCATTGAATGCATCATTTATTTTATGGTGCCAAAATTAACCGCAGCGATTCGTTAGGCATGGGGACAGTGACTCCCACTCTCAGCTCTGAGGGAATGCGAGCCAAGAGCCCGGGCTCTGCCCCAGATTCCAGCCTTTTGGGCCGGCCCCACGTGGCCATCCACGATCACCACTGAGCAGCAACGTGGGGTCGCGGCTGCTGTGGAGTCTGTGTGGCTCCACCAGGCCTCACCTGCAGCTGGCTCCCCAGCAGCAACTTAGGTGAAAACAGGGTTACCTGGCAATCTTTTTCCTTTCCTTTTCTTCAGCTTCCTCTTTCTGAGCAGTATTCAAACTTTCAGCATCAGCCAAATTGTCTACAGCGATGGCCAAGAAGACATTCAGTAGGATATCTAATTTGAACGTTTTAAGGGTATAACACCTTTCTGATGCATGGTCAACAATAGAAACGTCGCATCCCCTGTGCACTCCAGGAGGCCGGTAACGGGACACTGTCCCCTAGTGCCATGTTCACTTGTAAAGCCAGAGGACCAGAGCTGTGTGTCTTTGTTGTTGTTTTCTTTTATAAAACTAGAAAAGTGGAGAAGATAGTCTGGATAGAAGCAAAATTAAGATTCACTAAACTGCGTGAAAACCTACAAACGTCAACATTTCCTTTCATGCATGTGCATACGTGTGCTTGCGCATGCACGTGTGTGCCTCTACACACCTAGGTATCTACAGCTAAGAGACACATTGCATAAGACAATCTATAACATAAACACAGAGGGTCTTTTTCATGTTGCAAGTTTGCTTTATGCATTTTGTTTTGTTTCATTTAAAATACACACACCCATAACGCATATATATTTTGGGCATGCTTTCCAAAATAGACCCCTTCAAAGACAACACATTATGCAAATGAGGATCCCATTGCACAAGGCAGTCTGAGCTTTTCTCATTGGAAACGGCCTCCAGGGTGTGCAAACACCTCTTTCATTCATTCATTCATTCATTCATTCATTCACTGCACATCCCCTGACCACCACACGTCTGACTCACTGCCGGATGTGCTGGGCTATTCTTTTGAATAGGCCCACTGTGGCTAAGTCGTTGACTACGGTGGTTGGATTTTGTTTTCAAATAGTAAAAAGTTAGGTATTTGAACAAGTTATAAGGTTTTTGGCTTTTACTATAACGTATGTGTGGTTTCCATAAACGATTAAAAAAAAAATTCGGAACAAGGTTTCCAAACCAGAAGATGCCTGTTTCTTATTTGCTAGCTGGTAAGTCTGTTATTGAGAAGCAGATGAGAGGGCAGGAAGTGAAGGCGGCTCCCTCCCCTGACGAAGCGTCTCAGGCTGAGCACAGCCCTCTGCAGGCGGGAGCCGGGGCCTGAGACGGGAGCAGCACACACCGCTCACGTGCCCTTGCAGTCTGAGGTCTCCGGTGGGTGCCGAACATGCAAACATCACCTAACAGGGACCGATGATGAGACAGCTTCCAGGGGATTTCGTGCTCAACGAATCGAGTCAAGTCGTTCAAGAGGGCAGGAACGTGAGTGAATTATATTAAGACTTCGAACCGCCTTCGAGATCCTAGGCTATTTTTTACACAGAGCCTCTGGGAGCCTGAGGTGGTATTCACATGTTTGTACAACAGCTCTTCCGCCAAGCATTTATTGAGGGGCTCTGCAAGCCAGGTCTTGTGCTGCGCAGGGAGGACGGAGAGATACAGCAGACACAAGCAAAGGTGATGGGGTCATGAAGGTGCCAATCAAGGTAAAGGGAGACCTGAGTTTCCAGAAGCCTGGGGTTAGAGAGTACCTCTTGGCAGGGAGAAGGAATAAACACATTGGAGAAGTTACACAGCATGATACAGCAACCAGCCAATGGATATTTGACTTTCAAGGATATACAGGTCAGCAAAGTGAAGTTAGGTTCAGGGGAGCTTAGCTCAGCCCACTGAAGGTGGGTCCCCATCAGTTATGAGGGGTCTTAAGAAGATATAACTGTGCCCCAGCCTCCCAAGGATGATGGCACGGAGAGCCACCTGGCCTTGCCCTGAGCTATCCCATGGGACCTGCACAGGAGATGCGACACCTCGAGGGCCGACCACTGCTGCAGCCCAGGCACTGTCTCTGACTCCCTCCTCCGAGCCTGCTCTCATCCTGCAGGGCCTCACTGGGACCCTGCCTCTCCTCTGCTGACCCAGCAACGGTGAAGGAGAGCAGATAGAACAGGGTAAGGGCATTCACCTCCCCATCACAACGGCCACCACGCCACCATGGGGAGAGTCAGAGGGAGAAACCAAACAAGAGGGGGCAACAGCAACATCCTGGCCAGCGAAAGGATACAGTTCCCACAAATGAAGAGGATGATGAAGTAGATGCAGACGATCATCCCCGAAGATGACGGGCCCCCATACGCCATGATGCCGTCATACATCACAGCATTCCAGTCTTCGCCTGTCAGAATCTAAGAAGCCAAAACTTGATCAGTCGGTGGACCCACAATTCCCAGGTGTCTCCAGAGCTCCGTGGTGGCTGCCTACATCTGGTTTACGCTGCCTTTCACAGTCCGGTCTGCACTGAACAAACCCACCTGCTTTCCCGCAGAGTTTACAAAACATTATTATTTTAAAAAAATATTTTTTATTTATTTTTTACAGAGAGGAAGGGAGAGGGATAGAGAGTTAGAAACATTGATAAGCTGCTTCCTGCACACCCCCCACTGGGGATGTGCCCACAACCAAGGTACATACCCTTGACAGGAATCGAACCTGGGACCCTTCAGTCCGCAGGCTGACGCTCTATCCACTGAGCCAAACCGGTTAAGGCAAAAAAACCCATTATTTTAAATTACACCAATAGATGAGTTAATCGTTCTAGTGAAAATAACATTACATATAACACTTTGTACCCTGGGATGACGCCTCAGTCCAGAGAGCATGCTATTGGGGTGTCTCTCTCCGGGACTTTTATTGTGGATTTAAACTCATATGCACACTCAGAGGAAATGGGCCATTGGGGGCTTCTCTGATTTATTAGACATAAAGGGTATCATATACTGTATGAATTTTCTGCAATTTGCCTTACCCCCCCCCGCCCCCCTCAACAGTATACTCTGGAGACACTGTGTTAACAGCTTCATTTCATTCTTTAAAAAAAATTTTTTTTTAATCCTCACCCAAGGATATGTTTTCATTGATTTTAGAGAGAGAGGAAGGGAAAGAGAGAAAGAAATATTGATGTGAGAGAGAAACATTGATTGGTTGCCTCCCACACATGCCCCAACTGGGGACTGAACCCACAAACCTAGGTATGTGCCCTGACCAGGAATCAAACCCGAAATCTTTCTGGTGCACAGGATGATGCTCCAACCAACTGAGCCACCGGCCAGGGCTCATTTCATTCTTTTTAACTGCTGCCTAGTATTCCACATAGTTAACCAAGTGTGGAAATGGAAAACTATAGCTATGAATTTTTATAAGCAGAGAATTCCCTAAGTATCTTACGTAAATTTACAAACTACCTCGTGAGTAGGTACTAATAACTACCTGAATTTCAAATATAATCTTCTCTATGATGATACTTGGTAATTCAATCCATCATGAAATAGAACCAGATGAATATTAACAGCAATTTAAAAATACACTAACTTCCAAAAAGAAAAAGAGACAGTGAGGGAGAAAGAAAGAAAGAGAAAAAGAGAGAAAAAGAGAGAGAGAGAGAGAGAGAGAGAGCGCTCCTATATCACCTATCTGGGCCAGATACTTACAAAATTAAAACCGTCGTGGTCACCACCAAACAGGAAAATAGGCAAATGGGATTTGATAAAGCAATTCACAGAAAAGGAATTAGAAGTGGGCCTTAGTCACATGAAAAGACATTCAAGTTCACTCCCGATAATACCATGTTCACCAATCAGACAGGCGCAATCTGAAAGCCTGAGCACCTCCAGTGGGGTGCGAAGGAGTGAGGCAACGCGCAGCCCCCACACCCCATCCCTGGAGGATGAACGAACACACCCTCAAGGAGAATACTTGGGCCAGAGCATCCAAGCTGCACATGCGCACACACCCTCTGAACCGGCAGACTCTGGGAACGTCTCCTACAGATCTGCTCACACATGTGCCCCAGGGCGTATGTTCAAGGTCACCCACTGAGGCAAGACTGGAGACGATAAAATATTCCTCAGCAGGGGACTGCTCCATGAATCATGCACGCCCATACCCAGGAATTTACGCTGCAGGGAATAGGAGGTGGCAACCTTTTGTGGGCCAATCAGGCAGGTTCTTAAGGACACTTTAAGTGATAAAAAGCAAGATGGAAAATGGTGTAGAATGAGCTACCATCTGTGTGAATTCACCTGGAGGCAGGTAGGCAGGTTAACTGACTTATATCTAAGCAAATATATCTTAAAGAATACACAAGAAGCTATTTAACAGTGGTTGTCTCCTAGAAGGCGGCTGGCTTGGGGGGGGGGGGGGAGGGAGGGAAGAGACAGGATTGTTACTTTATTTTGAAGAGACTTGATTGTTACTTTATATCCTTTTGCAATGTTTGAATTTTGTGCCACATGCATGTATTACAAAACAACCACCACACAGGCTTCTCTGAAAAAAATCAGAAAAACCAGTGACTCATCAGTGGCCCCAAATTAAGTATAATTCAAAAAATTTTCAAAAATTAAGTATAATTCTATCACAGCCTATAGCAGTGACAGAAATCCCACTCACTTCCAGTGGCCAAGTGGGAAAGAATCTTAGAGATCATTCCCTCTAGTGTCTCTCTCTCTCTCTCTCTCTCTCTCTCTCTCTCTCTCTCTCCTTTTCAGAAAAGGACAGTGACTTTCCAGGGTCACAGAGCTGAGCACTGGGAGAGCCCCAGGCCCGCATGCCCACTGCCCCTCCCGCCGGCCCCACGGCCTCTCCAGCAGGGCCCAGAGCTCCTGGACTTGCATGTGAAAAGCCACAAGGGCAGACGGGACTGTTAAATTTATCGACCAGGCTCTGTCCAAGGAAGGGCTTCAGCTCACAACATAGGAAGATGAAGAGGAGTTTAGAGCAACTCGGCTTCGAGCCAGGAGGGCTGGCGAGGCTGCTGCTGCCTCACCCTGTCCCCTGCTCCTCAGCCTTGTTGCTCGCAGGGGCCCCAACCACACAGACACCCTCTGAGGCCGTGTGTCCCCATTACATCACACGAGGGAGGACAGAAAAGGGTCAGAAGGCTGCCACAACTCTTCTATCACCCTGATTCCTCTGACTACACCACAACATTAGGCCTTTGGAAGTCATTTCTTTGCATAAATCTGTTATAGCCAGAATTACAAAACTTGCCCTCGATCAAAAACTAGCACAGAACCAGAAAAGAGCTGATCTCACAGACACCCCAGGTCTGTGGCCTTGCAAAAACATTAAATCACATCCCATCGAGAGCAGGATTGAGATGCAAAAGAGATTGCTTAAATGGAACAAAATGTAGCAGAGCATCCATCACTGGGGTGGAGACGACTAATGGAAACAGAACCGTTTTGTCTCACTGAGTCGTGGACAGACAAGGAGGCACCTCATAATGGGCTTCGCAGGGAGGGGCAGCGGTGGGGGGCGGCTCACCTGGAACACCGTGAGAAGCGCCTGAGGGAAATTGTCAAAGGTGCTCCGCTTGGTCTGCGACTCGTCGAAATTAAACTTGCCTCCAAACAGCTGCATCCCGAGCAAGGAGAAGATGATGATGAAGAGGAAGAGCAGGAGCAACAGCGAAGCGATGGACTTCATGGAGTTTAACAAGGATGCCACCAAGTTGCTCAGGGATGTCCAGTGCCTGCAAGTCAAGGTGAGGGTGTGAGCCCAGAACGCAGACATCGCCTGACGGGAGGCGGCGACGCGCCGCCTGGCCCGCAGAGAACACCCGCAGCGAGGTGCCCCCGTCCTCACCTGGTCACTTTGAAAATCCGTAAGAGGCGCACACAGCGGAACACAGAGATGCCCAGGGGAGACATGATTTCCAGCTCCACCAAGATGGTTTCCGTGATGCCCCCACACACCACGAAGCAGTCAAAGCGATTAAAGAGGGAGACGAAGTACGCCTGGAGACCCAGGCTGTACATCTTCACCAGCATCTCGCAGGTGAACAGCGCCAGGAGGACTTTGTTCGCGATGTCTGGAAAGACAAAGGGGCGGGTGTCCTTGGGATCGCCTTTGCTCCCCTCCCCCGGTCCCTGCTGTGAATGCCCCCTTCTCCGCTACTGCCTCCATTGCAGAGACGTGGCACTAACATCGATGGTCTGCTTGTCTGCCAGGTTCCAGTCCTGCTGCCGCCACTACCTAGACGTGTGACTCCGGAGGGGGCCCTAGGTCTCTCTGGGCCTCAGTCTCACTGACTATGCCATGGGGAGGGGCAACTCTCCACGTCACCTCCGATGCTTCTGAGCCCTCGGAGCCTATGGGTCTCCATTCAGTCCAGCACCATGGTCGGCAAACTGCGGCTCTCGAGCCACATGCGGCTCTTTGGTCCCTTGAGTGTGGCTCTTCCTAAGCCTTAGGAGTACCCTAATTAAGTTAATAACAATGTACCTACCTATATAGTTTCAGTTTAAAAAATTTGGCTCTCAAAAGAAATTTCAATGGTTGTACTGTTGATATTTGGCTCTGTTGACTAATGAGTTTGCCGACCACTGGACTCTAGCATATTGTATTTCCTGCTCCTATCAGTCACAAAAGCTCTTGGTCGTGCTACAGCACCACGAGAGAAGAAGCAGTTGCCTATCCAGGTCATTTCTAACAGCAGAAAACACCTCCCAGCAGGCTGGGGAGTTGGACGGAAACAGATTTAACTTGATGTAAGACAGGCCTTCTTGATGGCTCAAAACTGCCACACTCAGAATGGACTGTCTCTGGGGACGAACTCCCACACCACATGGCTGGGGCGTTCGGGGCGGGGGAACATCACCACTTGCCCAGAATACCAGAAGGGAAAATAAAGCTTCCCCTTAGTGGGGGCGGGGGAGCGGGGAGGACCCTCCCCACTGGCAGATTCCTCCATGCTAGGTTGTCACAGGGTGAAGACGATGGCATGCCCTGGCGCCCATCACCTGCACCTCCACGCCAGGTGCACCCTGTGTTTGGACGGTTCTACATTCTTCCAATTAGTGCGCACCGAATCGTTCCCGCACCTGTCACACACCGAGCAGGTAGGACTAACGTGCATGGACAGCCTCGGGAATCCCTCATTCAGAACAAAAAGAGGAGAGCTTCTGCTTGTACCTTGGACCTGTGTCAGCCAGTCCGGCTGGTTGTAGTGCTCGGAGGAAATGGTTAAGGTGTTGAGAAACACCAGGACAATAACCAGCCAGTAAAACGTGACAGACTTCACGGCGGCCCTACATCGTCTGCGACTGAATCGGTTCCAGCGACGCCAGCGGCGGCTGCAAGAGAAGCAGACGTTACTCCCTGAGTGACAGATCCGGCACCTGAGTGTCTAATAAACATCACTGGGAAAGCATCTGTCTCCCACGCTGGCGGTCCAGATTGGGGTGGGGGTGCAGGAAGGAAAGACAGAACAAATGGCAAGGAAAGGAACAGACCTCGCAATACAAATTATGTTGATCTTCACATACAACTTCTTAAAATATTATCTCTTGATTTGATTGTGCTATCAGTTTCCTTCCTATGGCTTTACATGACTCCACAAGCCGTCCTACACAGTCCTCCAGCCAGTTAGAAAACCCAGATATTCACAGATCCGTGTGCAGATGCAAAACGGAGTAGCACACGTATGCAGTGCACATCCCCACCATATGGCGCAGGGATCTGTTGTGCAGAGAGCCACTTAGCTTATCATTACATCTCTCCCAGCATCTCAATCATCATACAAAATTGATCAGGCAACGAAATGCTCCAAAACTGCAGCTTTCCTTTCAGGGAAATTTCCATCCTTTCTTAACTCTGGGAGAGTTCTCTGGGGCCTGAGTAGGACATGAGTCTTCAGACTGAGTCATCAGGTGCCCTTTCTAACTAGTGATGCTCAAAATATACCTTCAGGAGAAGAGCCAATATTGAATCATGTTTTCGTACAAATAAAATGAGCCGAGCCCAACAGACAAGTAGCATGTCCTTCACTGACTTTCAGTTCTGGTTTGTAATGAGGGGAGGTATTCTCTCCATTACCCTGCTCCCCATGGGAAACACTCCCCGCCTCAGGATGGCTTGGTGAAGTGGGCTGTGCCCAGGGGGCTGAGTCAGAGGACTCTCCGGGCTGTGCCCAGGCTGCAGGCGGCTGACTCAGCTGTGCTCTGTTAAAAACACTGAAACCCAGGGGCCAGGCAGAGAGAGATCTGTGCTAACTCTTCAGCAAGACTTGGAACAAACAAGGTGCATGTTGTTATTGCTCTTGCTGTGTGGTTTCCAATGGCAGTAGCAGCTGGAAACACGAGGAGCAGCTAAGAAAAATTCTGCAGGGGACACTAAGGACTGTCCCTGGGGCGAGATGCTCAGTGGTGCACAAACCAGTCCACACAAGCAAGGTGCGCACTGGTCTGAAGAGGACCCAGCCTCGGTGGGTCTGTCATAGGGACAAGGCATAGGTGTCTCCCAAACCCAGGGACATGATCGTCACACCCCTCAATCCCTGCAGCACTCCCCGTCTTGCTCCTCACTGGGTGCCCAGGCTCTGTGCCAGGCACTGGGCATATGGAGATGAGGAAGACACAGCCCCGTGGCCCCTGTGCTGTCCTTGTAAAGTACGCAGAGTTACAGACTATAAATCCACACCAAGAGCTATTCCCAAGGCACCAGGCACAGGAGCAAAGAGCTGCAAATGCTCTTTTTAAAAAAATGTTTATCCCAGGATATTTTTTCTACCGATTTTTAAAGAGAGTGGAAGTGAGGGAGGAGTGGGGGAGGGAGAGAGACAGAGACAGACAGAGAGAGAGAGAGAGAGAGAGAGAGAGAGAGAGAGAGGCAGGCATTGATTGGCTGCCTCCCACACGCACCCAACCAAGGCTGGGAATCAAACCTGAGACCCTTCTATCTGTGGGCCTACGCTCTACCCACTGAGCAACTGGCCAGGGCTGCAAATGCTTTGTAAGAGTCAGGACAGTCTTCACTGGAAAACAGATTCCCCTCTCCAGGGCTGAGAAGGAGTTGGCCAGGGGGCAGGGGGAAGGGCACTCCACTCAGAGGAAACTGCAGGACCAAAGGGACTTAGGTAAGAAGAAACAGCGTGTGTGGTATGTTTGAAAACTGAGAGCAGTGGGGAGCAAGAAGGATCAAAAGATGAGGTCAGATGCTGAGCCACGGGCCAAATTATGAAGGAATTTGCCTGCCCCCTGGCAACAGGGAGTCATGGGAAGGCTTTTCACGTTATTTTTAAAGTCCGATTTACTGAGATATAATTTAGATGATAAAATTTACTCTTTTTAGGTATACTGTTTGTGACCACCACCACAATTAAGACATAGACTGTTTCCATCACTCAGAGTTCCTTCATGGCCCTTGTGGTCAATCGCCTCTCCTCACCACAGCCCCTGACAACTACTGAGATGTTTTTTGTTCCTATTTATTTGCTTTATCCAGAATGTCCTATAAATAGAATTATGCAACACAGGGTGGGGCAAAAGCAGGTTTACAATTGTGAGTACTCAAAACACAGTTTCTTCTTGTATTATTTATTACTAGAGGCCCGTTGCAGGAAGATTCCTGCAAGAATAGGGCTTCCTCAGGCCTATTCCT